CTACAGCAACCATCTGACTCCTACCGATCTGAACTGACCTCCACAGTAACCATATGCATCTGGCCACTACTGAGAGGAACTGGTTCCAACAGAAAACATCACACCCCTATCAAAAGGAACTATAAATCCTATAGCAACAGTCCGACTCATATTGTGCCATCTGACAAGTTCTGAGAGAAACTGAGATCCCCACAGCAACAAGGAATTAGGCCAGACTCCAACCATCTGAACTCTACTGAGATTAACTTACCCCAATAGCAATCATCTGACCCCTACTGAGATGAACTGACCTCCACATAGCCTATCTGGCCACTACTCATTACTGAGGGGAATTGATCTTTTATTGACCATCGGATCCCGTCCAGATCTATTGGACTTTCATAGGATCCATCAGGTTCCAATGATGACCATTTGACCACTACAGATATAATTTGCTTTTATTTGAAAAGTGACCTTTTGGTCACTTCCATATATCTAATATTCATACGTGTATATGAATTCTGGAGTAACCACATGACCTGTTATTAGATAAGCATTGGTGCCCTTTTGGTGTCAGTTCTAATGTCTAGTCCTCTCAGTAGATCACAAAAGTTATCCAGCTACACAGTAAAGTTTTGTTTTTATGTGGTTTAGCAACTTGAAGCAGCTAGGGTAAAGATGGGCAAGGACACTGTACAGTGTATATGAAAACTCAATTTTACAATGTACATCAACAATTTTACAAATTGAAACAATGTATCAGAATTAGGCTATGTCTAAACTCCTGAATAAGAAACCACAATTGCAATTCAGAAAACAAGAGATCCAAGAGAGATATTGGTGCCCACCATTGTTTGATCTTTATTTGCTTTCTGAAAGTTGGATATTTCTTTTCTTCTTTTCTCTTCTCTGTTTTTGCTCTTAATAATAAGACATTTGAACATTCCTTGGCAAAAATTGTGATGATAATCTTTACCTGCCAAATCCAAAATGGTCGCCTGGAAGCCATTTTGTTTCTTCTGATCAGTCCTAAAATCAAATGGACATTAGGAGAGATCTAAGGGAACACATGTATGAAATTTAAGAGATATCCATTCAGTTCTTCTTAAGAAATAGGAATAACAGTCTTTTCTAGGTGAAATCCATGAGACTGCCTTCTGTCATTTTATTTTTCTGATCAGTCCCAAACTCAAACAGGCACAACAAAGGACCAAGAGGAACATATATATGAAATTTAAGAAAGATCTATATAGTGCTTTTTTTTAAGAAATAGTGATAACAAACTTCATTGAAAAAATCCAAGATGGCCACCTGTAAGCCATTTTGTTTACTTGATCAGTCCCAAAATCAACTGGGCACAACTAGGAACCAAGGGGAACCTACATATGCAATATGAGAAAGATCCATCCAGTACTTCTCAAGAAAGAGTGATAACAAAAAGTGTTTATAGGTACATGGACGGATTATGGATTACAGACGCAAGGTGATTTGAATAGCCAACCATCTGATGATGGTTAGCCAAAAATATACTTGAGGGGTAAAGAAAGGCAGGATGACATTATTTGGAATATTGTTCAAAATCAATGAAAATCCGTCAACTCTCTAGGTTACAGTGCACATTATCTTGTATCGAATGTTGTGATGTGATCTGGGGAAAGCATAAAATGGGAAAATCTCATGCACAGCAGTTTTTTTTAGTTTAAATATATTTTGTTGCCAAGAGTAAGAGCAAAAGGACACAAGTTATTTCAACTTAAGAGATCTTCACCTTGTTAAAACAATGTTTCATACAGCAGTGTTGTGACATTGTGTTACACTGCTCGTCATATCATAAGGTAGTCTTCATAGAGACACATCAATTTCTGATATTTTGATTAATTTCTGATAGCATGAAACAATAGCATGGCTGACAAAGTTCAGAGAAGTCAGGCCATTGCATTGATTATGCAAGGTCAAATGCAGGTTGCCAGACATTTTGGTGCTAATATTTGCACTATAGAACGTCTTCTTAGACATCTAAGGGAAACTGGGTGGGTTGCTGACAGACCTAGGTCTGGGCATCACAACGTCAGAACAGGTTTATTTGTCTCATGCATTTGCACAATCAGCACCTTACTGCCACTGAATTTACCATAAGTAATCATAACCAACCTATCCATGCAAAAACTGTAAGGAAGCAATTGCAGTTGGGTCTGCTGGCACGTCACTGTTTGTATGTCTGCCACTTACCACTGCTCATCGCCAGTGTCATATGGCTTGGGTGGTGGCACATGCCCCCAAAATATTCCCATTGAGGCAGTGGAGGTGGATCTTGTTTACTGATGGGTCCCAGTTCACCCTATTTCGAGCGGATAGTTGACATCGTGTATACAGACATTGTTGAGAACATTTTGCCAACAGCTGCATAGTACAGTTTTGGGTGTTGGATCCGTGTGGGGAGGAATCTCACATGGAATTAAATCACCACTGGTTGCGGTAGCAGGTAATTTAATTCCCGCTCGGTATAGAGATGAGATCCTCTGATCACATGTCACATTATTGCAGTAAAACAACCTCACATCCAGCAGGATAATGGTCGGCCCCATGTAGTGAGGATATGTTGCTACTTTATCACTAACAACAATATCCACCTAATGGACAGGCTGCCATACAGACTGGACCTATACTCTATTGAGCACTTGTGGGACCAGCTGGATAGATAGGTTCGACGACGCCAATATCCCCCTGTTACTCTGGCCCAACTGAGAGCAGCCCTCTTGGAAGAGTGGGCCAACATCCCAATGAACTTCATGCCTTGGAGAACCAGGGCTGTGGAGAAAACGAATGGGGTACATACTCTTTCTTGACTAGCCAGCTCCCACAATCAGTTCATTCCAATTTCAGATTACAGAGTTCTCTTTCTTTCAATTCCCTTCAATTACTCCTAAATCATTTACCAGATACAATTTGTTGATTTTTCAGTTTGTGCTTCATTCTTACTTAAAGATATTGGACACTTTACTGGAAGTCTTGCCTAGAACCATCTTCAAATTTACTCTGTGTTTCTTATCCTTTGAGTATATAATGGTACAAAAACCAACACAGGTAAAGCATTGCAAGCATCAAGAATGGCACAAATCACTAAAAACATTATAATATGTCAAGGTATCACATGTAAATAACAACCTGTGTTTACTTTGTTATATAACAGTACAAAGAAGTGATTGATTCATCTCAAATGTTCGTGTTTACTGCTAAGATAAGTTCTAAAGTTATTAGTTATATGGAGTAATAAAATGAAACAAAACTTCTTATATTTATTTGAACTTTAATCTTTGGAGTAATACCATTGCTAAAAAGGCATGGCCCCTGGATTTTTCTCATGTGTTAAACTTCTTAAACTCTAACGCTGTATATTCCAATAGAAAGAAAAAATTATGAATTGTTTACCTTGTTCAGCAAATGCTTCTTTTAGTAATCTCTTAATACACATGTATCTGTGAGGCATGAGTGAAGTGAAATCTCGAGAAAGAACATCACTTGCAATATATCTAGCAATTTATGGGACAAATAAATTACACATCATAAAATTATGGAACACGTTACTACTCTACACCTAAGAAACTGTTTAAGAATCTAGAGGAACAGTGGAGATGGAGAAGATATTGTTAATTGCTTGTGCTATCATGATTCCCTTTTGTAAGGATTCAGTGAAATATTTGTAAATATATGAAAATCTTTCAAAGTAATATCTAATGTATGAACAGTATGATTATTGACTGATGATTTTCTTATAATGGAATTGATAATGTGTTATTGCAGATTTAATAATAGAAAATGAGATAAATTCACTTATTAATTTTAACATATAATTTGATATGTACATGTTGTGTAATCAAATAGTGCCTATTCACAACCAATACAAAAATACTTTTTTATTCAAAAATACTCCCAAAAGGATGATCCCTCACACCTATGTAATAAATGAAATTTTCATTAAGACTGTAACATAAAGAAAGTATGGTGGATTACATAAAATGATAGTTACAGTAATCATAAGCTATATAAGTTTGTAGCATTTTTACTAAAATACAACTGATGAGCTTATTTTGTTACCAGGCATGGAGTTTTTGATATTTTTTATACACTGATACAATACATGCATGAACAAACAAATTATGACTTTCATAACATCAGCTGGCTATCAGTGTCAAATTGGAATATCTGGTGAAGACTAGTTTTGACATGTTTCCTTTTAAAATTTTCCATTGTTCCATAAATAACAACCCCATGGCCTATTTTCAATGTATTCATATCAGATGTTCTCATGACTACAAACAATATTTTTATGGATTGTTAGTGGTCAAATGAATATCTGTTGATAATTTCTGTAATAAGGGAATATTTTTGATACTTGAGAAATATGACAAAGTTTTAAATACCTGGCCTTCAATTATGCAGTGTACTCCAATAATAATATAATTTTTACTTCTTGAATTTTCAAAAAAAATTTTTTTTTGTAAACACAATGATTTAATCAGAACAAACATATCAAATAACAAGTAGATATAGGATGGAGCATCAACACCAGGGATTTTGTGACTTTGTAGGCTTTATCAGAATCATCTGACGACAGTTAGCCAGGCCATCCCAAACATGTTAACCTGATGATGGTTGGCCTAGCCATGCAACACATGTCAACTTATAAAATAAGTTATTGAATAAATTATAAAAAAAAATGTCACTGAATCCCTGGTGTTGATGCTCGATCCTTTATCTTTTTGTTGTTACCTATCGTCTTAGGAGCTCTATTAGAATACTCCAGTATCCACTTACGATTCCTCTAACAATACATCTTACAACCAGCACCACTTAGAGGACTCCTTAACCTCTTTGTGTTATCCTTCGAAACACCTCAAATTTCAACTAAAATGGCAATGTAAAACTATGCCATGAAACTCTCAAATTACTGAAAGTTAAAATATATATGAAAATGATTTATCAATAACATTTTTTTTCAAAAAATAAATTACATTTAAAGGCTACAAGTAATATTCTTTTCCCTGTTGTGTATCCTGAGATTCCATGATGGGGAGTTGGTCGAGGTCCTTTGGATCAGCGTTTAAACCAGTCTCTTGTCTTCCATCAGTAATTGGTGAATGATCATCATCACTATCTTCTGATATTGAAAAGTTTCTAGACCTTGGGTTAGTTACATAATGTTTAGCCAATGATGAAGCTTTTGGTGTATGAGACAAAACATGGTTTGTCCTTAGATTTCCATGGATATTTTCCAAATCTCCATTCGTAAGAAACTCTGAATGACTGACTGAATCAAGCACACTAACCATAGACTTAAGATTTGGTAAAAACTGCAAAATCTGTTTTAGTTTATCAACTTTTTCTTCCAGATCTTTAATTCTGAAATCTTTCTCTTCTGCTAGTTGTTTCTGGACTGCCAACAGTTTGTCCTTTTCCTTAGAATCATGTTCTCCTTCATATATTCTGCTCTGGAGTGCTTTAATTTCTTCCTCTTTTACAGCTTTCAGTTGCTGAAACTGTTGCTGGTACATCAAGTCCCTGTCAATAAGTGTTTGGTTCTGGTGTTGTATGGTATTTTCCAGTGATGCTATACGTTGATGCATAGCATGCAGGTGCTTGTTTGCTTCCTGAATGTTTGTCCTGCTTAACATCTTTATAGCTATGAGTAGAGCTGTTTTCAAAAAATCAACTACTTTTGTAATGTAGTCCTCTGCTCATTTTAACATCATACCTGTGAAAAACAAAACGAAAGTAAAGCAATTAATTAAGAAAAAAACCATCAGAACACTGCAGTTACATTTTATGTGAATGCTTGATAAAGGGATAACCATCTGGGTAGTAAATGGTGGTCTTCAGGCTTATAAAAAGTAGGGACTTAAGAAATGCAGTGGAACTGGCCTGGGTTGATAATTGACGACCATGAAAATTGGTTGACTTTCCATTTAGAGTTTGGCCGGTTTTTATCCCAGACTTGCAGAGGCTGTGTATTATTTTTATTCCTCATACACTATAAACCCTAGTTTAAATGGTCCTGACTATTGGTGAGTTCATTTTACATTATAATTTAATTTTGAGAGTATATATACAATGCATATATAGTTCTGCTAAGATCCAGTATCAGTTGATCAGAGCACCAATGCTAATGAAACAGTCAACTTTGAGGAATATAATGTATTATCCATGGTCATAGCTATCGGTCTGATAACAGACATTTGACCAGATGACTAGAATGTAAACAACTCAATCGAATGGATAATAATTACAAAAAGGTCTGAAAATGATTGGTAATGATATATGTATTACTAAAACGAGAGTCTTGAGCAATTAAAACATTATGTTATATCATATCAATATCGATCTCCAGTCTTTTTTTCTTATTATCATCAATTTATCGTTCGCCAGCACAGCAAGCACTTCATGGTATTGTGTGTGGTAATTCAACTCCAACAACCTGCCCATATGAAAAACTTCAAACAAAAGTGTTGCTGGAACTTCAATATCTACAATAAACTAACCGCAGCACGCAATGAGAACAGAAGACCCCTTGAATTGATTAAAATAATTTTGATCTACAAAATATCTTTTAAATTTTTCATGTGAAAATAAAATCATACTAAAAGTCTTAAATAATTCAAATGAATTTAACAAATATATACTTTAATGCTTTGAAACGCATATAACAAACATCTTGTTAAAAAAATTCCATTTTAACTATTCAAGATTAGATCACATTTGTTCTCCGATGTACCTGATATCCGGTTTAACCTTCAAAAACTTTCGTAACTTTCCGTGAACGAGAAATACATTGTCTCTTACACAGAAGCAGCCAAAAGGTCCTGATTTGGCGTAAAACCTGTCCCGTCGCCTTACAGCATTAAAACTGCAAGATGTGTAGGTTCTTTCGATAACTGTTTGAAATGAATTATGATCAAGTATTAGGATGTTTAGAAATTTCCCATCAAACACTTATAGGACACAATGATGAGATAACTATTAGTAGTTATTTTTTCCCCCCAGAAAAAAGACAGTTTATGTAATATTGGTGACTAAAATAAGAACTCTTCATGACAAATTCAATCAAATACATAAATTAATATTGATTTTCCGAATTACCATGTATAACAGAATTGTTTCAGCAGTGTTTACAACTTTACTCTCTTTTTTCTACCAAGACAAGTCAAAATTGCTTAAAACATTAAGGTTCTAAAGATTTTTATGATTTGTTAATTAACAGAACGAAACCTCTCAATAACAAAGAGATTAGAAAACGGTGGTTGAAAACATCCTGATTTTAATAATGAAAACTAGTTAAACATATAAACGCTGCCCTTACAAATCCGACTAGAACTACATTGTGTTTCTTCATAATTTGGCTACTAACTCCTTTCTTTTTTAAAGCAGAGATGGTAGCTAGTTCTTTCTGCAATGTCTTATACTCTAAAAGGGAAACTCTTGTACATTTATTCTGAAGATTTTTTTGTCAATTTTTATAGTCTAGATATGTTGTCAAAGACTTTATTAATGAATTTCCTGTTCCCATAGAAATAGATAATCCTCATCATAAATTTCAGTTTTTCTGGCCCAATGCTCTGAAACCATTCAAGATAATTGCTCAAAACTTTTCACACCTATTAAGCCAGTAGTATCTTTTACTATAGGGAAGTTCATCATTTAAATACTTTTTTCTGTCACCATGGAAATAGATAGGCCAAATCAAACAGTTAAGTTTGTTTATTCTAAGCATTCGATGGGTCTACCTGTGGGAGGAAACCTGTATCCCTTTAGAGATATTGAATCCCGGATGGCTAGTTGAAAGACAAGTGTGTTACAACTTCGCCATAAAACCACAGCCTAATCGTGATGATGCATTGTTTTCTAGAAGAAGAAGAAGACAAAGCAGAAGACGATGATGATGACAACAACATTGATGATGATGCTGATACATCGTTACACATGTATGTGCCGATGTTCTGTAAAATCTTCCAAAAAATGAAATAAATATTAAAAAACCTGCTTCAGTACGGACATGGATCTTGCTGTTCAAAATGTGTATCTTGTTGACCAACTTGTGCTCGCTTTTAGGCTTTTTGTTGTAACCATGCAAGGGGTCTAATTGCGGGAGGTAACAAGTATCTCTTCAGGGAATCGACAGCTAAATGAAAGACTAGTGTGTTACAACTATGCCACCAAACAACCTCCTGTTCATGATGCTGCATTTCTTTCTAGAATAAGGAGATGATGATGATGATGATGATGATGATTATGATGATAAATGTGTATATGCCGATGTTTGTTAAAATCTTGCGAAATATAAAGCAAATTTTAAAAACACGATTCAGTGCAGACATGGATGAGGCAGTTCAAAATGTGCACCTTGTTGACCAATTTGCGCTCGCTTTTAGGCAGTGCCTATTTCTTATCATCGATATATGAAAGTCCTTTCTCAAAGAAAAACACAAAATGTGCGACATATATATATGTCAAGTGTTCAGGCAGTGCAGATCTCCTGTGGTTCTAAGAAATCATCTGGAGAAATAAACAATTATAAGATTGTGTCAACCACACCAAACGTGTTACAAACATTAATGAATTTACTCTTGCTGGTATACGTTGAAAAATACTTACAGTCAAACACGTTGCCGAAGTTTCGCTTGCGGTCTGACTGTTTGACAGGCCTGATTCGTGTCCAGCGGAAACCCGGAAGTTGATATCCGTGTCGTGCATGCGTATCAAAGCCAACAATATAATCCAATCAATAGCCGTGTTCTTCTTTGCAGACTCTCCTTAAACCAATCAAACCAATCATAACAGTTCTGTCATTGGCGCCATTTACAGCAGCTAGTCAATGTGAAGAATAGTAATAACCATGGCTAAAGTTAACATATTAGATGTTGTTGTTCTAGATAACCCGTCACCATTTCTTAACCCTTTTCAATTTGAAATCACTTTCGAGTGTTTGGAAGACTTAACGGAAGGTATGTATCATGTAATGTCATCCCTTTAATTGAGAAAAAAATGCCGGTTGGGGGGAAACCGTATTTATGCAAAAAAGAAAACCCCAACAATATGCCTTGCCTTTGACACTTTAACATTGGTAAAAGATAGCACAATTTTATAAGTGTATGATTGAATGTATACAATGGACATAATCATAAGAGATTTACAGAAATACTGTTACAATTAGAATTTTGGACCGTATTTATGATCGTAAATCAATAATTATATATGCATTGGCAACTTAAAGGTATAATCTGTAATCGCCAACAGAAATAGATTTATCTGCTGTGCTAGGATATGGATCAAAATATTTGCATTCTTAACGGAGAAAGTTCAGCACGTGATTAGTAGTATGAGATGTTAAGCACTATTCCAAGTTTTTCATCTTTTTCTCAAATTAGATGCCTCGCTCAAATACATGAATTGTAAGATGCACCCACCTGGTAATGCTCACAGGGGTAAAACTCTATTAACTATATTTCCAACTTAAGTACAACTTTCCCAGCTAGGTGTGCTTTAAGATTTAAATAAAAATTAGATGAACAGGAAATAAATTGTACTTGTATTGCTGTCCTTATTGGTTAAAACAGAGACGTGATATACCGTAAAAACCCATGTAATGTCCGCACTTTTTTTCACCGAAAATCAATCCAAAAAAGGGGGTGCGGACATTACAGAGATATAGAGGAAATGACACTTTTTCCTTCCGACAATTCATATCATATCTCCTTGAATTGTGTTCTTAAAAGCCAAGCATACCTTATATTATCGTTCTATGGTTTTTTCTATGATGTTTCCTCAACCAAACATGATTATTTATGATTATTTATTATAGTTTCCATGGTTAATTCCTTCCAATTTCTCGTTACAGGTTCGTATTGTGTCGTCCTTCGTAATAGGAAGCCATTTTGTTTGACTTTGTCACATGAATAAAGTTAGAGTTATTCCCCTTTCCCCATTTTGATTATGGATCGTTTATCAGAAAGTCTTAATACATAGCAGGCCGGTTTAATAGCGTTTCTCGAAAAGAAGTCGTCGTCGTCACTGTGGAAGAACTCCTCGGCGTTGAAGTTGTCTTCCTCTGTCTGGTCGTTGTAATAAATGGCGTTCTCGTCGTCTGATGGTATGTCAGTAGGGTCAGTGGCGCCGTGGGTCATGAGCGGGTCATGTTACTGTATAGTTATCGTTAATTGGCTAATCACACGCTGTCACTCACTCACACTCGAGGTGAGGAGACGACCCAAGCTGTTTATAACACTGCTGGGCTAACCCTTATCAAAACACCAATTATCGAAATGAGGACTTGTCATACTGGTAAGCTTACTGTACCATTATGGAGAATAACTGTTATAAACAATTAAGTGAATTCTTGAATGGTACCTGTAAGTTATACACAATGCGACATGCTCTCGGCCATTACGACATTAGCGTACGTGAAATGAAATCGGCAGCTTCAATTTGCATTTTTTACCCGCGGACATTACATGGAAGGTGGGTTTTTTCCCCAGATTTTTGTGTTAAAAAAGGGGTGCGGACATTACACAGATGCGGACATTACGTGGGTTTTTACGGTATATGTCTCTGGTTAAAATCATGTACTTGATAGGAGATTTAAGATATTTGAAATGATGGCGTGTTCATGTATGGTAATCTTTTAAGATTTTTGCAGCTTTTAGTACATGTTTTTATTTCCAAGTGGATGCTTGACAGGTCAGGGTATATCGTAACTAATCATGTTCAATAGGTCAGGAGGTCAGCCTGCAAAAAGAAAGTTCAGCAAGCCAGCTTTCCAAGGTAGTACGTCCTTGTATTAATAGATGAAAAGCTTAGTTGCGTCTTTTATCTGAAAAATGCATGCTATGTACAAGGAAAAAACAGGTAAAAAGGCCTCTGACATATTTTTCATTTAGAACCGTATACATGTAATAAAATGAGCTGTAAGAAAAAAAATTTAACCAAAAACAGAAATTTTCAGCTACAAGATATGCAGTATATATCGGTAACAATTCAAATAAATGTTAACTAATGTGTAAATACTGTTATTCAAAATTATCATGCAGGGTCTCCGGAATGATAAAAAATTGGCTCTACTAACAGCCAAAGAAGCATGCTCTGTCAGGTGTGTGACAGAGACTGTATGTAACACTTTGTACAATTCAAACCAATCTGCTCATTTTACATCACGCTACAGTTTTTCTTAAGATTCCCAGAATCTCAATTCAGTACTCTAAACACCACAACCTGTGGGAATTTTGTTCAGGGCCAACATGAAAGGAAAGGGAAAATGCACATTCCTGTCCCCCAATTGGAACTGAAAATTGAACCCAAGTCTCTGACATGATAATGATTGGGATCTACCAACTGAACCAAAGAAGCACATTCTATCACCTAAGTGATAGAGACAATGTATGCTTTGAGAGATATCTAGTTCCTTACAATACATATTGATAATGTCAGAGTTTATGAAGACTGATGAATCTAAATATATACATTTAAGAAGGGAGGAAAGAAATATCAGAATTAATTTATATCAGTCACTTGACTTTTACAACCTGAAGCAACCGTACACTGTCCTATTTTAGGAGTGACTAAATTAATCCTGAATGTTTGTTTTCGTATCCACTAGACAAGGAAATGACACCAATACATAAAACTATGAAATTGTTTTACCCTTGAGTGATTAAACATATTTCTGAAACAACAATGTCGCTATTGTGGTTCGAAAACATACTTGAACAGTTAAGACAATGATATGGAATTGTGATATAAATTGGGGCAAACCTATAGCTAAATTTGCTGCTGTGTATGTTTAGTATTTCAAATAATAGATCAACCCATCATAAACAGCTTCTTCTTCAGTCACTCAAATTACATTTAGAGCTTATTTAAAATAGAGCTGTCATCAAATATCTAATATACAATGCTACCAGATTGACCATCAAGAACCGTAACTCTGTGACAGCTATCCATTGATGATCATACATGCAGTTTGTGGAGTTATATTTTTAACCAAAATTTGAATTTTTACCTAAAATAGTAGATAAATGTAAAATAAAAAATATGTAAAAAAAAAATTGCAGTGTTTGTTGACATATTGGGATGACTTATTTCATACAATTTCTTCTTGGTGTTCCACAGATTTAGAATGGAAAATAATCTATGTTGGTGCTGCAGAAAGTGAAGAGTATGATCAAACACTTGACTCCGTTCTGGTTGGTCCTATTCCTGGAGGGAGACACATGTTTGTTTTTCAGGTAATATACAAAATGATAATATATTGATGTAAGGATTCATCATCTTAATTTCTTTGCTCACATGATCATTTTATGATGCTTTACATATATTTTATACAACACAAATTAGCATATATACATGTACTATACAGGAATTGTGGTGGACCAAATTTAGGTTAATCATCCTTGGTAGACAAACACATGCATATGATTCAGACTTGGACTCATTGCTTTAAATGTCTGCTATTTATAACATATCTATGATGAAGGGATTGCTTTAAATGTCTGCTATTTATAACATATCTATGATGAAGCAATTGCTTTAAAGAATTTGGGAACAGAGTCCATTTCTTATTAAATGTAGTCCATCTATGTTTTGATTGGCATATTTTCTGAAAATTTGGAGTCTGTTTTCAATCTTCAAATACGTTTTGACACATTTACAACAACTTTCCGATGATTTGGGATGAAATTAACTTGATTTTGAACTGAAATTGAAATTTGATTTGAAAATTTGTTATTTAAATATAAAGAAAACTTTGTCTAATTTTATAGAATTAAAACTCATAAAAAGACAGGGATATAATAGAGCTATTTTTTGTATGATTTTTTGATATTTTCTTTTTGTTGAAGGCTGGACCTCCGAACACAGATAAGATCCCGGTTGCTGATGCTGTAGGCGTAACAGTTGTGTTATTGACATGTTCTTATAGAAACAGAGAATTCATCAGAGTAGGTTATTATGTTAACAACGAATACAAAGACCAAGAATTGAGAGAGGATCCACCATCGGTTCCACAATATGACAAGGTATGCTATATAATGCTATGCAGAATGTCCAAATCATTATAAAAACAATGGGTATATCATTTTACAATTTTTAACCCCATCTTCAATGAAGTGATAGGTTCATCACAATGTTTGATTGCATACCATGATGAAGTCATTATCTTTTATATTACCTTATCAAACCTTTGACAAAATTGTTTTCAATTTTTTCACAAAAATAATATGATGAAAGTTGCACTTTATGGATAGTTTTAAACTATCTTATTTAGCATTATAGGTTTTAACATTCCCTTATTTAATGTTGTTATATTTCAACTGGCATCACAACAATGAACACATGTCTAAAAAGCAAATTAATGTTATGGATACAATCGAAATATCCCACTTTTTTTCTCTTTTTTTTTTTTTTTTTTTTGCTGTAATCCACTATGTACTTTCAGCATTATAAGTTTGCAGAGGTTTACTTTCACAAATTTTGAACCACTATTGTAAAATTCATAGTGAAAGCCCTTCATGGAAGCCCAATTTCCCTGAGGATAGGTAACCTTGCTGTAGGACATGTGAGGAACATTGATCAGTTAATGACCCGTTGATATGCTTGATCAACTTCTGACACTTCATTTACAAGGAATATGGTACATTGTAGCTATGATGTTCTATATTCCAGATAAAAATATAGTAACTGGTAGTATATCATGAAACATGAACACGCTATTTATGTCACAAGAACCAGAGGTTAAACTGCGATGCTAATCAAACCTGTTATTTAATGGAAATAAAGAGATATAAAACAATGTAATTTTATGGATAATTGCAGTTTGTAACTCATAGAATTAACATGCATTCTAATTTCTTTCGATGTCTCAGGGCCTTGATAGATGTCATATAGGGCTCAGGATAATTTCTAGTTTCAATCTTCTTTTTTTTCTGAGCTTTGCTAATAACAAAATAGATCATGTAATAAACAGTATGAATGTTGACATGATATTATATTAACTATCAGTATTCTATTGGATGTCATACTTGCTAGATTTTCTTTGCAATAGAGAAAGGTTTTACTCCAGTAAATGTTAATACCATTTTGTCACATGAAAGCTTCAATGATCATGTTACAATCACATATTCCAAAAAGTCGTGTTACCTTTAAGCAGTTTATTTGAATATGAAATATAATGATATTCCAATTTCATTTTTAAAACCCTTAAACTACATGTAAGTGGAAAGTTTCTAGATGCAGTTCTAAGTGCAAGTGGCATTCACTGATCCAGTTCTGTGTCATGTTATCCTCTGTTAATAAATTCAGTAACCTGTCAAATGCTACAGTTTCTTTTAGGCCAAAATTGCAATTTAGTATTGGCATGCTATTCTTCAGATTGAAGTAACTGTGATCAGTAGAGATATTGTTTTATGAATGAATTATGGTTTATGAGAAATGTATGTCATTAGATGCCACATTCATGATCAGTACTGTATTATTGTCAAGATCAGATTACTGTAGATAAATAAAGCTTCTCTTTTTACAGCTGGAAAGAAGTTTATTAGCCACCAATCCTCGAGTGACACGATTTAAAATTGACTGGGATGACAATGGTGAAACACCTGCCGATGAAAATGTGCCACCAGCAACAAACACAGAATCAGAATCTAACCAAATGTGTGTAGACAATAAAGACAATGTGCTGAACAAACCTGTGGCAGCAGTTATGAACAACAACAGCTCAAGTCTAGGGACAAGCGATAATATAAAAATGGAAATGTGATCATCATGTTATCGTCTTGTTCATTATTGTGTCAAGTTTCTTCATCAAAAGCCAGTGTGTGCTTGGATAACAATTTACATTTAAATTAGTAGCAAACCATTCTCTAAGCACGTGTTTGATATAGTTCTTATTAAATTTCATCAACTCATTTATACGAAGTGCCCCAGTGTAGAGGTAAAATAAGGTTAAAAGTTTATTAGTACAGTTTTTTGTGTTCTAATAAAATGAGTTGTTTTGTTCCAGGGTTTAAAACCTAAGCCATGTGTCATGCCTGTTGAAGATGAAATAAATGCTATTATTATTATCAAATTTCAAATTATAATGCCAGGGTGGTGTTTGGTGATCAGTACATGTATGCAAACTACATTTGCATTTCATTTGTGGTATATTAAGTATTATTAGTCATTGTACCTTCTTTTGCACAGTTCTTTTGTTAACGACTTTTTTTTTCAAAGCCTCAATTTTTAGAAATTAATACCAAAATGAAAGGCTCCAGCTGGCCCCATCCAAACAACATTGTCTTTGTATTTACTATTTACATCTGTTAAATAGGTAGTTCAATAGAGATCAGATATATTTACAAAATCTACCTTCTTGATTAGGGGAAATAAGTTAGTGTTGAAGTCAAGGTTTTAATGATAAATAAGTAAAAATATAGCAAAATTAGGGCTTTAGTTTGTAGGAAACAATTTTGTGTTGAACTTAGTTCCTCAGTGGTGTTGTAGCACTTGCTCACATATTTACCTTATATGTTAATAGAAATACAAACCCTGTTTGTATTTGTTGATCACCAGGAGAACACTTGTGTAATTACTTAATGCCATAGTATATTTAATAGGAGTCCTGGGTAATAATCTAGTGCTATTATTTAGGGTTGATTTGTCGGAAATAATCCCAGTGTGATCAGTGTGGAACGAGAGATTAAGCTTGCTTCAAAGTTTTTATGTGACTTTTTGGATATAGAGGAAAATGTACTGAGAAATGTAGGCATCAGTGTCATTTTGTTCTGATGACTTATCTATCCTCAAACTGGGTACTGATTCCTTCATAAATGGGCTGTTAATGATAACATTGCTGTTTCTGAAAGTTTAAGCAGTTTTTTGTAATAAGAAATTTAATTTGATTCAAAGTAAGTTTTTTTATGATCATTTAATAACATGCTGCAGTGTATAAGCTAAGTAATTCATGGTAAAGTTTTAAATGTTCATATATAAGAAATTGATTGATATCCTGTGTTTAAAACTTTAGGCAAGTGTTAAATTTTGATGGGACATACATGCAAGTCACAAAACAACATTTCATCCTCTGGTATCTAGAAATACATATTTGCATAATTAAATGTCATAAGCATCCTATCATTTTTTAACAAGAATTTATGTTTGATATAGCAAACATGCATTTGCCAAACTTTTCACTAACAGGTCATTTGTTAGCACATGTAATTGTCACAAATAGTGTTGAACTGATTTCAGCATCTTTTAACAAATATGATAAAAAAATGTTGTGCAATGTATGTATACATAACTTGTACATCAAGGTTGAGCAAAGTGTATAATTGACTTCAATTTTTTCTTGTAATATCTTCCAATCTTCACTGTAGTAAATGTGATGGTTGTACCATATGGTATGCACATCATATGAGTGCGACGTGCTTGAAGGCTTTGAATGTTTACATTTTTAGTTTTGCACCAAAACAGCATTTAATATGATGTTTATATGGCTTTATCTAAATTACAATTACAATCTATATAATTAACACAAAAATAACTATCATATTTACACCATATTCCAGTTGGAATAAGGAAATAAAAGGTGTTGGTACAGGAATTTTCAGATTTTTGTAAGGGTTCCAGAATTGAAAATATAAAAATACTCGTTAAAAAAAAAGATTTACGTACCATGTAAGTCATCTACTGTAAACGAAACATGTACCAGTACACAATATGAATTAGCAGAAGAAAAATATGTATAGTAAATAATACAGCTGTATTTGTAGCATTACCAACTATCCAATGTAAATGATCTTTTTAATCTATAGATCAGTATGGAAATCATTGTTTGGTATGAACATCATAATCAAATGGCCTTGACATCAAATATTGATTTTCCATGTAGGGATGAAAACATCATAGACATTTTTATTCTGATTGTATGGCAGTGTAAATGCGTTGTTAATTTTGTGTAAATTATATAGCAAACAATTGTTGCATAGACAATGCCATAGAAAATATGATGCAAATGTAAACATTCAAAGCACTTAAGTCTGACGCTATCATGGGATGTATGCACCATATGGTACAATCATCACATTTATTACAGTTTATCTCTGAAGAAGAGGATTTGTTTCATCAGGATGGTAATGATGTTTATACTACATACTTTTTAAATGAAAATTGTTACATCTTGGTATTGATCAAATGTTTTTGGACCATGGGAAATTTTTTTTTTTTTTATAGAAAATGTTTTCCGTGATATATTAATAATCCTGGAGAGGACCAAGGCTCCTGCAAAATGAAATTGTCCCCATTTCCCCAGTGTATAGGATGGTCCATTTTTAACATAAACTGAAAATTCCTGATAATGGCCTTTTTCCCTATGATGTATCAAGTCATGTTGATGTTACCTATATGTTAAGTAATAGAACAGTCTATACACAAATATTTATTTCATCGAGGGAAAGAACTTTGCAAAAACTTGTTCATTGTGTTTCGAAATGGAAATGCTAATGATATTCAATGTATTGTTCATTATTTAATATATATGTGTGTAATCAGGGATGTATGAGAGACATTCCTGGTGTAATGTACTTCATATAGGTAGAGTATTCACTTTTGTGAATTTGAAAAATTTTATACTTGAAAAATACAATAGTGTATTTGATCAATTAAAATAAACTGAGTAAAAAAATCACATTGCATAATTTTGTTTTTATGCCCCCAACGTGAAATTGGGTAGTGTAACTCAGTCTATCCATTTGTTTTTTCATTGCAATTTGAAATAATGACTTAAATTTAGTGTATGCCTTGAAACAACAGAGATACAGATCAAGTTTGAATTCTGGTAAAAGAAAATCCAAATATTGGTGGGCGTTATTGTTTTATGCACTTCGATTGTTGTGGAAGATTGACCTTTGCACTTCAGATATTGTGCAAGATTGCAGTTTCCTGGACTTTTTTTCATTTATGTTAAATAAAATTTGAATCCTGTTTAGAAAATACAATTTCTCATGGTGTTACGGTGACTTTCATTCTGTTGTGTAGCTTCAACCTACAGGATTACAGTTGTAGATTGAATCCCATTTGGAAAATCTAATTTTAGGTGCAGTTATACCATTAACAATTTTGCCATCCAATACAATTCTAGAATTCTTGTCTCCAACCCCTGTGATACATGTCAATATGCAAGGTAAGTGTAAGGGCGTTAATGTCATACTGACATTTCTAGTTATTGATTTTAAAATTAGGTTTAAAGCAATAGAAACCAACTTCTATTTTCAAATTTTATAAAATCTTAGCAATACAGGAAGGTTTCATACATCTGCAAATAAAAAAAAAGATGTGTGGTTAATTGTGATAAGTCTCCAACAGCACAATGAGATAAAGAGGATCTTTAGGGAAATCATATGAGGTTAGTCTTAGAAATTTGCATTTTACCAAAACCAAATGTAAGATCCTGTTTCTCGCACAACTGAAACACTATAGCAAATACTTTTGGTGAACCAAGACAAATTCTAACTTCGTGATATTGCTCTACATCTCTTTGGTGAGCATGACATCACAATATAGGATACCATGAAGATATAATGTAACAAAAGGAACGTTATATTCAGCCAATCACAGTTTTGTTCAGTCATATTTCATGTTTTATTCAAATATTTGTAATAAGTATTATTAGTGAAAGCTGAAATTTTATTTGGAAATGTTTCAGTGAAAATATGGAACTGATAATAATGGGTGATTTCAATGTGAACATTCTAAATGAAAAAGAAAATCTGTGTGATCTTACGGACTTGGTGGAAATCTTTCACAGATTGTCACAACCTACTGGTGTTTCGGAGGACACTAAGACACTCATAGACCACATATAAGTCTCCAAACCTAAGTATATTAGAACGGTAAATATTGTACCCATTGGTCTCAGTGACCATTATCCTATTTGTTGTGTGCGTGAACATTCATTTGGGTCAAAGTTCAAACACTTTACACAGATGTATAGATCATTTAAAAACTTTGATTCTAAGCTATTCATTGATGCTATAGGAACTGTGCCATGGTGTGTCATAGAAATATCTGATGATGTCAATGGATCACCATCTGCATGGCATCAATTATTCTCAGGTGTCCTTGATGAACATGCTCCAATAAAGGAACATCGTGTCAAAAAACCAACGCAACCCAAGTGGATGGACGATGATATCCTTGACAATATACGTTACAGAGACCAATTAAAGAACTCTGGTTAAATGACTCCATATAGAGTTCAGCGTAATAAAGTTTGGATATGATCAGACAGACCAAATCCCAAATATTATTGAATGTAATTTAGATAATCCCCGAAATTTGTGGAAACTCATCTGTGAGGTTGCTCCCAAACAATCCCCTACTATGTTGAATGTTGATGGAGAGAGTATATATGATAAAAAGGAAATGGCAAATTGTTTTAATACATTTTTTACTGAAATTGCTGGTAAATTATCTGCACAACTTCATGATCTACAGTCTTCTTTTGCAAACTTAAGCAATATGTGTCAGCAAAATTGACAACAGGTTACAAATTTTCCATCCCAGATGTTTCAGCTGAATTTGTAATTTCCTGAAATCTTTAGATGAAAAGAAGGCTGAAGGTGCTGACAGTGTTAATGCTAAGCTGCTGAAGCTTGTTCATGATCAGGTAGCACCTTCACTGACATATATTATAAATCTTAGTACAAGAACATGTAAATTTCCTGACCTGTGAAAAATGGCCAAAGTAATTCCTTTGTATAAAAGTGGTAAGTCTGCTGATTTTAATAATTATAGGCCAACCTCTGTTTTACCCATTTAATCTAAGATACTGGAAAGGCATGTACTTACTTATTTTTACAAGTTTTTAAATGAACACAAGCTCATTGTCTCATCACAGTCTGGTTTTAGAGAAAAATATTTGTGAAACAGCCATGTTAAATATTGTTAACTCTTGGGCCAAAAATATTGATGATGGGCTTTTCACTGGTGTAATTTTTGTAGATTTGATGAAGGCCTTTGATTTAGGTAACCATTCTGTTTTGTTAGAAAAGTTTAAATTATATGGATGTGATGAAAGTTCATTATCATGGTTTGAATCATATCTTTCAGATAGAACACAAAAAATCTGTTTGTCTGGTACTCTGTTGGAAACATGGTGTACCACAAGGTTCAATCTTAGGCCCGTTACTATTTTTGACATTTACAAACACTGACAATTCCAGTTTCCATTATAAGATATACAAAATGTTTTGCAGACAGATTTAGAAAATGTAACAAATTAGTGTAATGAAAACAAAAGGATTGTAAATGCCCAAAAAACAAAATGTATGATTGTTGCTTCAAAATAGAAACTCTCCAGGACTTCAGATTGTAAACTTCGCCTGAAACTTGGTGACACTGAATTAGAACAAGTGGAAAACGAAAAACTTTTAGGTGTACATCTTGATTATTGTTTGTCGTGGAAAAGTCATGTTGACAAAGCAGTGTCTAAAATTAGAAAGTGTTTAGGTTTGTTAAGTCATTTACATTCCTATCTTCTCATTCAAGGTAGAATGAAGTTTTACAACTCATGTATTTTTCCCCATTTTATTTATTGCTGCACTTTATGGTCTGGATGTGATGCAAATCATATGGGTAAATTACATAAAGCCCAGAAATAGGCAGCAAGAGTTATACTTGATGTGCCATATGATACACCTTCCTCTGATATGTTTTCTGTTTTAAAATGGCTTCCAATTGAAAAATATTTTAAATTCAAGAGAATATGTATGTTTTACAAATGTATTCATGGATTGGTGTCAGATTTCTTAAGTCACCATATCAAACTTATTAATGATGAACACAGAAGATGTACCAGGTTTTCCATGGCAAATAATGTTATTGTTCCTAAGCACAGAACTATATTTTACTCAAAACAATTTTTGTATCTAGTGCTCAGGACTGGAATAGTCTACCCAGTCTGTTAAAAGACATTGAAAATTTTAATTCTTTTAGAGACCAACTAGTTCATTACTTTTTTTATTCTTTTTTAATCTATGCTGTATTAGTGTATATCCTGGTAATTTTTATTTTTTGCAATGGTAGCATATATGTATATACAGCTTAAAGCCATTTAATTGACAAATCAAATTAGCACAAATATGTGTTTGTGCTATCTGTGATAATCTTTATCAATACTGACTGTGATGTGTTGTCTTTCACTATTATAGTTTTGTATGTGATTGTGATATTGTTTTACTAATGAATGTAATATTTTACTTACTTGAGGACCATGTGGTAGATGAGCCTTTGCCTTAACATGTATTATCCTCTTTGAATAAAGTCTTATTATTATCATTGTTTTAAAAATGTGAAGAGCGGGGGTGAAAAATAAAAATGGAGGGGACACCCGGGTTCGAACCAGGGACCTCTCGATCTGCAGTCGAATGCTCTACCACTGAGCTATATCCCCTCTTATAATAAGGAGTGTCAAAATACTGTATATATAATCAAAACGCATACTTGAATTAAATTTTCGTGTCATATCATTTGCTCAGTTATTGTAGATTTTTAAACGTTTTTAAATAACAAAAAATATACAAACCATATTCTGTTGATCAACCATCTATCATGAAATCGGGCACCTAGTTTTCAGTTGTCATAGGCAACGGGCAAGCGTACATCCGGGATCCGTCAAGATGGCTGCAAGCACATAAACAAAACTGTTGTCTGACAACTAAACGCAAGGTTTGTCAATTGGAATTGATATATAGGCTATCTTAATCATAATTGACTGAAACTTTTTTTCTTTTGTCATACGAATATAGGCTTATCGAAGTATTTCAATTAACAGGTTTTTTAATGATTCAACATTCTACCTATTTGAGACAGAGTTGTCCTGTAGTGTACTAGCTATAACAGCTACATCACATAACATGTCGCATTCCATCCATAGCTACATGTATCAGGGTGAAGTACCTTGCCCAAGGACATGTCAGTTGTCTAGCTTGTAGAGATGTATTAATGTAATTTTTAATGTACATCACAGTATACATCGATCGATACAAAAAAATATTTTTGAAGTAATGGTTTGTCTTAAGTCTTATGGTTGCTACATAAAGTTTATACTTTCGTTAATGGCATCACTGGTAGTGGTAACTCAAAATATGTTGAAAGAACACTGATGACATATATGCTTCCATCTATCACTATTAAGTGGTTTAATGTTGACACAACAATAACTAAAACTAGGAACATATGATGACTATGGATAAATTTACTTGCCTTCTAAAGTGTAATGATAATACCATGTCTGATGGATATCGTTGCTGATTGTATGTACCTTTTACCAAATCATGTGGTAGCTAATGAAACAGTCACATTGTTGCCAAACTTTGAAGAAGATAGGTAATTGATTACTGGTGTCATTTTTCATTTTAATGATTAGATATGAAAAGGATGGAAATGGTTAAAGTCCTGGTGAAATGAAAATACATGTAGTTAATTTCAATCAGTAGATCAAATTCAATGTTTATATATATGATTTCACTCTTCAAATTTATGTGAATAAATGATAACCAAAATCTTACTATATCCCAGCACAAGACAATTAATATAAATAATGATATCCTGAAATTCTTCAGTGTTACGAAGAAAAAACAGATTTATGTACAATACCCTAATTCTGTGTGTGAAAAATTAGGCAGTTCTTGATAACATGTACTGTATGCAGTATATATTCTTTTCATTTATATCTGATTGGTAAAATCTTACTTAATCCCGATAGAAGACAATTGGAAAGAAACTTTTAATAGTGGTATCCTGAAATTCTTCACTGTGTTACGAAGAAAAACAGTTTATCCACAATACCATAATTCTGTGTACAAACTGGGTGAAAAATCTGACAGGACTTGATAAATATGTACTGCATGCAGTATATATACTTTTCATTTGTATCAGGCATAAAACATGTCAGAGCCGGAGAAGAAGGAAGTTTCCGAAAAGGAAAAGGAAACATCAAAGCAGGATGAAAAAGAAAAAGTGAGTATTAACAACAACAAAAAATGAATTTTCTAGATTTATGATTTTGATATCGATAGAAGGATCTATCTGTATTTGGATAAAATTGTGTGGTTTTGTAGTGATTTAAAAAGAAACTATTCATATCTTCATGTATTAGAAATAGGTTTTTTTTGTTTTATGTTTAGGACACGGCTCAAGGTGGGAAGAAGAGTCCTGTAAGTGGAAAGGCTAAGCCAGGAAGTGGGAAAAGGTCAGGGACACCCAGCAAGGGCAATAAAGGTGCTGCTGAAAAAGGGCGAGCAACACCAAAAGGTAATAAACCTTACAATTTCTATAGGGCAGGCATATATCAAGATTGGTATGAAGAGATTGTAATTATATCACTGAATAAAGATTATGTATGATTGTAGAAATCAATGATTTGTATGTCTAATGACAGTTGTTGAAATTCCATTTTTGTCAATTAAATGTCATGCTTTCAGGAAACACAAAGGCAAAGACCAAGGAGGATGTGAAGGCACCAACACCAGACCCAACAGGGGAGGGGGAAGAAGAAGAAGAAGGTAGTACACTGTAATAAAAAAGAAATCTATTCCATATTTGAATACTACGAATATTCTAGATTTGTGTGATGTATTTTGTAAATGCTTTAATTATTCTGACAGGTATCTATGTTATAAAAATATACCCTGGTCTTTTTGAAGTCAAAGTATCATTTCTTCTTGATTACAAAATTTCTAAATGTTTATTACAATTGTACATTGTACATCCCCACTTAGGTGAATTTTGAGGTAATTTTGGCAGGAATGCTAATAAAAATAATTTTGGTGATTGGGAAGGCTGTCAAATCTTTGTGTCCCCAGCAATGAAATGGAGAATGATATTGTTGTCCTCGGCTGTCTGTCTAAGAATAACATTCATTGTATAAAAATTTGTTACCTAGCTTCCTACTTAACTGAAACAACTGTGTCATAAAAAAATTAGATACCTTGCATATATTCCTATTAAATCAGAATCATTTTATATTTTGGCTTCAATTTCTGATTATTTATATGACATGTATTATACATATTTTGTTTGGAAACATAGGTCTGCCAGAAGGATGTGTACCACTTTTTATGTCTGCCAAATCCCAAGAAATATTTGGCTGTACATGTGATGTTGATGTAACAGAAGAAAATCCCATCAAAGTCATTATGAAGGCTGATATTATGGAAGATTTCTTTAACAGGGCGGCTGTTTGTGATTTCCATCCTGTAAAACAGGCAGTACAGGTAAATCGAGATAGCTTGTTTTGGAGGAAAATTTACAATAAATATATATATTTGAAATTCAGAAGATGATAAATAATTTGTGGTCATGAATTCTTTTGAAATGATTTTTGGAGGAAGAAAAGCCTTAATTATTTGAGACTTTTAAAAAAAAAAACTGTTTTGTTTTTGTTTGTTTTTTTTTTTGAATTGTATTGCTGATGAATTGGCCAGGAAAGAAAAAATAGATCAGCTATATCATGACAAACTGTAAAAGGTGACACTTTTCAGATTCACGTACATTAAGTGACATGATTGGAAGTATTTCATGGTTTAAATGATGTCTTTTATGACAGGATTTTCCATCAGACGAGATTGTCATTGTATATGATCCTGACTTCAAGTTTGGGCAGAATTTTTACATTGCTATCACAGAGGAAGCCAAGGAAAAAATACTGAATGTAAGTGAATGCAAGTTATACAGTGTCACTCCTAGCTAGCTGGTGATGGAAATACTGACTTTGAATTAGATAGGTCAGACATAGCACAGAGAAAATAAGGTCAAATATCATAAGAAGTAGGCTACAGATTGATATATACCATAGCAGACTTTTGAAAAGGTATAAAGTTAATTCAATTTCATTTAAATGTTATTGAGACTTCCAAAACAATTTATTAAGACTTACGAAAAGACTTTAACAGTCCACAGATATGAACAATCATGTGAAACTTTTATTGAGAGATAACTGTATTTGTACAGCCCTTTGGTCCTGAAGGAGAAGGAGAAGCAGGGGCAGAAAAAGAGGAAGAGGTGGTATACAAGTACATTCCACCCGAGTCTAAGGAATGGGTATCACATGGTAGTGAAAAGGAAATCAAGGAGGAAAATGTTGTGGAAAACCGACGACGGGTAAATAGACTATCAACAAATTGATTTTCCAACTTGTTAATCTGTACTTTTATCAAAGATTGAAAAACTTACTTATGCTAATCACACTGCAACTTTATTTAAGCTCAAGTTGTAACATTTTCTTTTTTGCAGTCTCTCTGTTATGTTCATGGTTTATGAATATTTAATAAACTAAAGAATTCTTGTTATTCAACCATATTGCAGACATCATGGAAGTAACAGGCTGTATACAGTATTCCATATAACATTATAGGTAAGGAGTTACACTGTATTGTTTAGTATGGACTTTATTTTTCCCAACAGATAAAAATTTCTGCTCGTCGTATCAGGAAGGAATTTGGTGCTCCTTGTAATTTCCAAGACAGGAATGTTGCCGATGCTAAAGATGCCTACGTTGAGTGTACAGCATATGAGGACCGTACTTATGACCTTAAGAAAATAGAATTGGATAAAAGTGTACAGGTAGGAAAAAGTAGAAAGAAGTAGTATGTTTCTGTTCTTTTGTTTTCAAACACTCAGAGAAATTCTCACAAAAAGTATTAAAATCTGATATCCGCTTTTACTTACAGGTAATGAAAACTATTACTTATATTGGTAGAACCTTTTAAACTTGAAAAAGTACAAGAAAACTTCAGAGATTGTAACTTTCATAATTGCAATGATCTATGTTTTAGGCGGTTCCAGTGCTTGTAGAAGAGGGGACAAATACTGACTGGCGCTACCCAAGAAATGCAAATACACAGTATTATCCCCGTGAATTCTCAGACAAAGAAAAAGAAACTATTGAAAAATCTACTGACTTACAAACTTTTGCTAAGGATATGGTTCCAAGGTAAAATGCTGTGATTGGTTTATGATAGCATCTTTGAAATAACCCTGCTAGATCTAGATTTGCTGTCATTGGTGGTGTGATGAGATACTGTTGGATTGGGTGGTTGGCTGAGACTTTTGCCTGTTTTGATTTTTTTCTTACAATAGGTAGTCAGTGTTTCGTTTACCGTTATAATTCTAGATCTTATTCTGATGTACATATCAACTAACCATACTTTTGAAACCTTTTTCTTTCTCATATATATAGCAAAATAGCTTCATACTACAAATGAAATTGTTAATGATATTAGAACGTCTGTCTGCATTATTATTCTGATGCTTTGATTTCACTTTTAAAATGATTGTGGTAGGTATTATTTCTGCTGTCAGGTTATGAACAGTCATTGTAAATTATCTATCCTTATCTGTTTCATTAATCATATCAAAATTCAAAACATATCGTCAAATTTGAAATCTTTTAATTAACTTTTTGTAACTGTTTTGGTTTCTTTTCTCAGATTTGAACTTGCCCTTCAGCAGAACGAGATTATGGATGTTTTCTATATTGACTGGCTGCACTTAGGAGATGCTGATGGATCGTTTGGGAACAAAGCTGACAATCACCTCAAGGTATTCACAAAACCAAGAATTGCAAGTCATGGAATACCAAACATTCAAAGATTTGTAGTTTCAGGATATTTTGCTTCAATAAAAATCTACATTTTATTAATTATGGTCTTTAAGAGCAACTTGAGAAAACTATTTTGAAGAAAACATTGAAGAAGTATTACATAATTATCATAAACGAAGTCAGATCATTTCTAAGTGAAAGTATTACATACCTGTTTCCTCATTCTAAAACTTTTTTTATTCAGGAGTACCAGTCCTTTACAGACCTTCAGTTTAGTAAAGACAGAACCATTACAGCTATACAGTGGCATCCCACCATTAAAGGTGAGTCACATGATGTGTTTTTGTGTCAGATCAATCAAAATTATCAATAGTTTTACATTATAAAATATCTTATACAGAAATCTGGTGAAACTCTCTTTTACAGATATAGAATTAGAAAATGAATAAATTATGTATGATCAATACATGTTGGTGTAAGATATTTTACATGATCTGTTAATGTAGGATGTTTTACATGATCTGTTGATGTAAGATATTTTACATGATCTGTTGATGTAAGATGTATTACATGATCTGTTGATGTAAGATATTTTACACAATCTGTTGATGTAAGATATTTTACATGATCTGTTGATGTAAGATATTTTACATGATCTGTTGATGTAAGATATTTTACACAATCTGTTGATGTAAGATATTTTACACAATCTGTTGATGTAAGATTTTTTACATGATCTGTTGATGTAAGATGTTTTACATGATCTGTTGATGTAAGATATTTTACACAATCTGTTGATGTAAGATATTTTACATGATCTGTTGATGTAAGATATTTTACACAATCTGTTGATGTAAGATATTTTACATGATCTGTTGATGTAAGATATTTTACACAATCTGTTGATGTAAGATGTTTTACATGATCTGTTGATGTAAGATATTTTACACAATCTGTTGATGTAAGATGTTTTACATGATCTGTTGATGTAAGATATTTTACACAATCTGTTGATGTAAGATATTTTACACAATCTGTTGATGTAAGATGTTTTACATGATCTGTTGATGTAAGATATTTTACACAATCTGTTGATGTAAGATATTTTACACAATCTGTTGATGTAAGATGTTTTACATGATCTGTTGATGTAAGATGTTTTACATGATCTGTTGATGTAAGATATTTTACACAATCTGTTGATGTAAGATGTTTTACATGATCTGTTGATGTAAGATGTTTTACATGATCTGTTGATGTAAGATATTTTACACAATCTGTTGATGTAAGATATTTTACACAATCTGTTGATGTAAGATGTTTTACATGATCTGTTGATGTAAGATGTATTACATGATCTGTTGATGTAAGATATTTTACACAATCTGTTGATGTAAGATGTTTTACATGATCTGTTGATGTAAGATATTTTACACAATCTGTTGGTGTAAGATATTTTACATGATCTGTTGATGTAAGATATTTTACACAATCTGTTGATGTAAGATATTTTACATGATCTGTTGATGTAAGATATTTTACATGATCTGTTGATGTAAGATGTATTACATGATCTGTTGATGTAAGATATTTTACACAATCTGTTGGTGTAAGATATTTTACATGATCTGTTGATGTAAGATATTTTACACAATCTGTTGATGTAAGATGTTTTACATGATCTGTTGATGTAAGATATTTTACATGATCTGTTGATGTAAGATGTTTTACATGATCTGTTGATGTAAGATGTATTACATGATCTGTTGATGTAAGATATTTTACACAATCTGTTGGTGTAAGATATTTTACATGATCTGTTGATGTAAGATATTTTACACAATCTGTTGATGTAAGATATTTTACATGATCTGTTGATGTAAGATATTTTACATGATCTGTTGATGTAAGATGTTTTACATGATCTGTTGGTGTAAGATGTTTTACATGATCTGTTGATGTAAGATATTTTACATGATCTGTTGATGTAAGATATTTTACATGATCTGTTGATGTAAGATATATTACATGATCTGTTGATGTAAGATGTTTTACATGATCTGTTGATGTAAGATGTTTTACATGATCTGTTGATGTAAGATGTTTTACATGATCTGTTGATGTAAGATGTTTTACATGATCTGTTGATGTAAGATATTTTACATGATCTGTTGATGTAAAATGTTTTACATGATCTGTTGATGTAAGATATTTTACATGATCTGTTGATGTAAGATATTTTACACAATCTGTTGATGTAAGATGTTTTACATGATCTGTTGATGTAAGATATTTTACACAATCTGTTGATGTAAGATGTTTTACATGATCTGTTGATGTAAGATATTTTACATGATCTGTTGATGTAAGATGTTTTACATGATCTGTTGATGTAAGATATTTTACACAATCTGTTGATGTAAGATGTTTTACATGATCTGTTGATGTAAGATATTTTACACAATCTGTTGATGTAAGATGTTTTACATGATCTGTTGATGTAAGATATTTTACACAATCTGTTGATGTAAGATGTTTTACATGATCTGTTGATGTAAGATATTTTACACAATCTGTTGATGTAAGATGTATTACATGATCTGTTGATGTAAGATATTTTACACAATCTGTTGATGTAAGATGTTTTACATGATCTGTTGATGTAAGATGTTTTACATGATCTGTTGATGTAAGATGTTTTACATGATCTGTTGATGTAAGATATTTTACATGATCTGTTGATGTAAAATGTTTTACATGATCTGTTGATGTAAGATGTTTTACATGATCTGTTGATGTAAGATATTTTACACAATCTGTTGATGTAAGATGTTTTACATGATCTGTTGATGTAAGATATTTTACACAATCTGTTGATGTAAGATGTTTTACATGATCTGTTGATGTAAGATGTTTTACATGATCTGTTGATGTAAGATGTTTTACATGATCTGTTGATGTAAGATATTTTACATGATCTGTTGATGTAAAATGTTTTACATGATCTGTTGATGTAAGATGTTTTACATGATCTGTTGATGTAAGATATTTTACACAATCTGTTGATGTAAGATGTTTTACATGATCTGTTGATGTAAGATATTTTACACAATCTGTTGGTGTAAGATATTTTACACAATCTGTTGATGTAAGATGTTTTACATGATCTGTTGATGTAAGATGTTTTACATGATCTGTTGATGTAAGATATTTTACATGATCTGTTGATGTAAGATATTTTACATGATCTGTTGATGTAAGATATTTTACATGATCTGTTGATGTAAGATATTTTACATGATCTGTTGATGTAAGATGTTTTACATGATCTGTTGATGTAAGATATTTTACACAATCTGTTGATGTAAGATGTTTTACATGATCTGTTGATGTAAGATATTTTACACAATCTGTTGGTGTAAGATGTTTTACACGATCTGTTGGTGTAAGATATTTTACATGATCTGTTGGTGTAAGATATTTTACATGATCTGTTGATTTAAGATATTTTACACAATCTGTTGGTGTAAGATCTGTTGGTGTAAGATGTTTTACATGATCTGTTGATGTAAGATGTTTTACATGATCTGTTGATGTAAGATGTTTTACATGATCTGTTGATGTAAGATATTTTACACGATCTGTTGATGTAAGATGTTTTACATGATCTGTTGATGTAAGATGTTTTACATGATCTGTTGATGTAAGATATTTTACATGATCTGTTGATGTAAGATATTTTACACAATCTGTTGGTGTAAGATATTTTACACAATCTGTTGGTGTAAGATGTTTTACATGATCTGTTGATGTAAGATGTTTTACATGATCTGTTGATGTAAGATGTATTACATGATCTGTTGATGTAAGATGTTTTACATGATCTGTTGATGTAAGATGTATTACATGATCTGTTGATGTAAGATGTTTTACACAATCTGTTGATGTAAGATGTTTTACACAATCTGTTGATGTAAGATGTTTTACATGATCTGTTGGTGTAAGATATTTTACATGATCTGTTGATGTAAGATGTTTTACATGATCTGTTGATGTAAGATATTTTACACAATCTGTTGATTTAAGATGTTTTACATGATCTGTTGATGTAAGATATTTTACATGGTCTGTTAATGTAAGATGTTTTATGTATCCTGTTAATGGATGATGTAATAAAATGTGTAACAAATTTTGAAATTTACTTTTCCAGGTGTAGTTGCAGTTGCTGTGGCAGAAAAATTGAGCTTTGATGAGAGAATAGATAACTGTGCCAAAGTGATCATGACACCATCTCTAATCCTGATCTGGAGTTTTACTGACCCTATACATCCACAGGTAACATTCTAATTTCTGAATTCTGATTTCGAGTTTTACAGACCCTATACATCCACAAGTCACATTTATATTTCTGAATTCTGATCTCGAGTTTTACTGACCCTATACATCCACAAGTCACATTTATATTTCTGAATTCTGATCTCGAGTTTTACTGACCCTATACATCCACAAGTCACATTTATATTTCTGAATTCTGATCTCGAGTTTTACTGACCCTATACATCCACAAGTCACATTTATATTTCTGAATTCTGATCTCGAGTTTTACTGACCCTATACATCCACAGGTAACATTCTAATTTCTGAATTCTGATTTCGAGTTTTACAGACCCTATACATCCACAAGTCACATTTATATTTCTGAATTCTGATCTCGAGTTTTACTGACCCTATACATCCACAAGTCACATTTATATTTCTGAATTCTGATCTCGAGTTTTACTGACCCTATACATCCACAAGTCACATTTATATTTCTGAATTCTGATCTCGAGTTTTACCGACCCTATACATCCACAAGTCACATTTATATTTCTGAATTCTGATCTCGAGTTTTACTGACCCTATACATCCACAAGTCACATTTATATTTCTGAATTCTGATCTAGTTTTACTGACCCTATACATCCACAAGTCACATTTATATTTCTGAATTCTGATCTCGAGTTTTACTGACCCTATACATCCACAAGTCACATTTATATTTCTGAATTCTGATCTCGAGTTTTACTGACCCTATACATCCACAAGTCACATTTATATTTCTGAATTCTGATCTCGAGTTTTACCGACCCTATACATCCACATGTAGTACTTTCATATTTCCTAATTATTCTTATTTCTTTCGTCAATTACTATTGACAATTGAAATCAATCCTCAACCATTACATCTGATCAGGATATGTTGACTGTTTCTTTCTTTCCTTCCAAAATGTATTAATTATTCAACTCTTTCAATACTTTTCTCTTATCAGCTGTTACTAGAAGCACCAGACGACATCTACAGTTTCCAGTTCTGTCCCTCTGACCCTAATATAATCTGTGGTGGTTGTTACAATGGACAAGTAGTGTTGTGGGATATCTCTGCTCACGCTGACCGACTGAAGCAACAGAGAGGCAGCAACAGAAACAAGAAGTCTAATGTTTTGGTAAGTATATCATGAAGCCTACAGATCAAGAGAAAAAAATTGCTGCCTCTTATGATACTATAGACTTGATAATCATTTCAACAAGATATTGTTTTATTGCTGTTTCTCTTTATATTTCAGATTTGTTTCGTTTAAATGAAATTAATGTGAAATCTGGAAAAAAATTATTCTATACAAAACCATGTAGTTTCTTCGAAATTGATTGAAAGATCACTTAAAATTCAGGCTGAAATGTTAATTTACATGGAATTTGCTCTCTGGTGTATATATTAAGAAATAAACATTTAATTCTGAAATATGAATGTTAGATAGGTGAATTTTCCTAGTAGGTTTTTCTTTTTTAATTGTTATATTTAGATGTTTTTGGTCATATATTTTTACAAATAAAGATTGGTCTCAGTAAAAAGAACTGTTTTCTTTAGACTTATTAAGAGGGAAATTATTCCTAACAGCTGGATCAATTTGTCGATGAAATATTTTGGTATACGAACATGATTGCTTTAACATGAATCGTATTTGATTTGAGTTACCACCGCTTCCGGAGAAGCGATTAACTTTTCGGAATGAGGGACTTCTACAGGTAAACTTTGTATAATGGTGAAGAAGGTTTAAACACACTTTTTTGTTTACCACAAGTTAATATTTAAAATTCAGAGACGCATTCTTCAACACCTTTATCAATCTTCTTTGGGATAGCTTGGTGCAAGGTTTTTTTATTATACTTAAAGTATGATTTTCATCACATTAGTTAGCTCAAAATTCCTTTTCAGCTCTATGATAGAATTTAATTTCAGAGAGAGGTCGAATTGATTTTCAAGGTAAAATTAGATATAACGTTACTCAATCAAGTAACGATACAATTTCTCAAAGTTAAGTGGAAAAATTGAAGTTGAGGTGTAAATATATTAGCTTTAATCAGATTTACATAATGAAACTGAGAGAGAAAAAATATACCATATGTACATATATACATAAAATAATGGGAGAAAATTTGATCTAATACTTTCAACTTCACTTTTTTTCCAAAGTTTGATTTGTAAATGAAACAGTTTTAGAAGAGAAAGAGATTTTAAGTGTTCAACTCTTTGCATGTTGATCTCATTAATTTCATGGTATGAGAATGACAATGGCAGACAAATCCTTGATGTACCAGGGTGAAATTTCAAAATTTAAGTTTTATTTAAAATATAAATGTATTACATCACTCTCCATGATTCAAAATTTTATACTTGGCACCAACACAAGGTTTAATGTTGTTAATTATTAATTGATGACAATATCAAGAAATATTTTTTTTCAAATGTCTAGTAAATCTTAAAGGTAGAAATCTGCCTTACAGTATTACTGAGAATGAGAGGCATGCCATTATGAAATAATGAAGAGTTCAGGTTATATTTTCATACATTGAATAAGTTTGTTTTGTTGAAGTTCATAATCATTTCAATTTGATTGAATTTTTTATTTTTTTTTTTAAACTTACACTTCAAAGTAGTTTTTAAATGTTGTGCCTGTATTTGTCATATTGAATTCTATGTCGGGTCTGGTATTTATTCCGAGTGTTTAAGATATACTGTAAATAATATTGGAGGAACAGTTATTAGAATCCTTGACCTAAGTTATGGAATCATAAGTTGGATGTATCATCATGTACACTTTTGCTCCATGTGTCAGTTTACTGCTTTCTGGTTTCAAACGCAAGTTTGATGGTGTTCAATGCGGATATTTCTTTAGGTTCCAGATATGTTTTTACCAGCTAACTTTTGCAGAGAACTATCAGGATATGATTTGCTTCATTTTCCACTTGCTAATATTGTGATGGATTAGTACTGTCTCTCTCTAGCTTCTGCAACATTGGACAAATTTTTTAATTTTGGGAGAGGCTAATACATTTCAGGCTATGTAATATAGATGCACTGAGGTGACAGAAAGCATTTAAAAAAATAGTGTAAATTTATATGGCTGCATGACTATCAGCAAATTTACACATGTAAATCATGGATAGATTGAGGAGAAAGGATTAAGTGATGTGTTTAAATTTTACTTCTGTATAATTATTCAATGTTTAAATAATTTACCCAATAGTGAGGTAATTGACACAGTCAGAATGAAGTAGTACATGTATAAAAGTAATCAAAAGTTTTACTGATTTTACAATAAAGAAATAAACATATATACATGCTTACTATTTTATCATTAATGGGTAAATATTGTATTGAGGTTATTGGTAAAGTTTTGGAAACAGGTTTTAAAAATGGGAAAATAATTCTGACAATTACTGTTATACTTATTCATTGTACAGTAGAATACACTATCATTATAAAAATTGATAGTAAGAATAACATTACCTGTATTGTTGTATGTATCTACACTAATGATGTAGCTCATGGTGGAAATGTATTCCTTTTCATACCCACAGGCTTATGCAGTACTCATTATTATGTCATATTTATCCTGCAGTAGGCCTGGGAGCCAACATATTTCCTCTGTCCCAAAGTCAGGGTGTGTGTTTAATACAAGACAATAGGCACAAGGGGCCAACATATTACCTCTGTCCCAAAGTCAGGGTGTGTGTTTAATACAAGACAATAGGCACAAGGGGCCAACATATTACCTCTGTCCCAAAGTCAGGGTGTGGGTTTAATACAAGACAATAGGCACAAGGGGCCAACATATTACCTCTGTCCCAAAGTCAGGGTGTGGGTTTATTACAAGACAATAGGCACAAGGGGCCAACATATTACCTCTGTCCCAAAGTCAGGGTGTGGGTTTAATACAAGACAATAGGCACAAGGGGCCAACATATTACCTCTGTCCCAAAGTCAGGGTGTGGGTTTAATACAAAACAATAGGCACAAGGGGCCAACATATTACCTCTGTCCCAAAGTCAGGGTGTGGGTTTAATACAAGACAATAGGCACAAGGGGTCAACATATTACCTCTGTCCCAAAGTCAGGGTGTGGGTTTATTACAAGACAATAGGCACAAGGGGCCAACATATTTCCTCAGACTCAAAGTCAGGGTGTGGGTTTATTACAAGACAATAGGTCCAGAAGGGTAACACATTACCGTTGAATCAATGTAGGTGTTGAACTCATTAGAGGACATTAAGCCAAACAGGATAACACATAACCTTTGACTCAAAGAGGATCAGTTGAATTATTACATGATAACAAAATCATATTTGTTGGTAGTTTTCTTGAATTCTACCAGACATTTATCTCTTACCAGGTAGATACTGTAATATATGAGGTTAATACAAAACCAACAAAACGTATATAGACCAAGGTTTTTGTTCACTTATTTCAGAGACTGATATAAAATAATTTATTGACAACACACACTTAGATACAGATGTATGAGACCCATGATCAATAGAATGAAATCCACCAGTGTAAATTGTAACATTGAAGGGATAGGTATTAAATCAATAATCTAGAAATCATGTTTGAATATTTAACATTTCCATGTCATCTTTCAGAAATTAGAGACATAACTATTTTTGAAAAAGGGCTGATGAAAGTATATTTTTTGTAGCCTGGCTTTGAGGATCCCAATGCTTTAAAAACTCCAGTAGTCCGTTACTGTGCTGTTTCCAGTATAGAGAACAGTCACCGAGCAGCCATTACTGACATACAGTGGGTTCCTGACCATATGGAGGTATGTCTAACTAAACAAGTTATAAAAACTGGGGACTTGCAAATGAACACTTGAACATATCAAGTTATATCTGAATGAATAAGCAAATGATGTTGGACACAAGACAAGATGAAGGTATGGTATGTCTAATTAAAACTCCATTTAACACAGGACAGCCATCACAAGCAAGGTAGATCTAAATAAGTTAGCCAATGATATCAGACTAGATGAATGTATGTCAGACATTAGTGGTCAAAATGACAGAAATAATGTCTGATCATGTTTAACGTAAATAGCATTTACTACTCAGATTAAACAGAATTATTGTCTATCACTTTAAGTAATTCTTTACATAGTACAATAATGATAGAAACTACTTGTCACTAGCTATAGAAGATTTGTTCTAAAACATTTTCTTTATTTTGGATCTTTATGGGGATATTACATTCCTACATTTTGTTCTACCATCATAATTATTATACAAGAAGTGTACAAGAAGTGTTATGTTTACCAGTTGAACAGGATGGGTGTGCCCCAGGAGAACAAGGGTCTACAGTGCTGTCAGATTATGACCTGTGCCACCGATTAGTGAGTATACACATACACAAAAGCTTATCTGTTGTATATAAAAACTAGTGAGTGTAGACAATTGAGTACCATTTTGTGTCTATACAGATTAGTGAGTACCACATTGTGTATATCCAGACTAGTGAGTCTCACCTTGTGTATACAAATTAGTGGATACCATCCCAGGGTTTTCCATACGAGCCGGTCGCTGGCCAATTTTTACCGGCTACCTTGATCATTTGGCCGCATACACCAATCCAGTTCGGTAATAATGTTCCGTACACGACTACACGTACACGGCAGGCCAGCCTCCGACTTTCACTACACAGCCTACTGCTAACAAAATTATGGAAAACCCTGCCTGTGAATGTACAGATATCTTAGTACCATCTTGTGTTCATGCAGACTAATGAGTACCATCATATGTATATATAGACAAGTGATTACCATCTTGTGTTTATACAGAATAGTGTTTCTGCATGAATCAAACTGGATTTTGAAATGTTGAATTTATGATGCATTTTCTTTTTCTAACAGCTGTGTATTAGTGTGGGACACTAGACCTGTGAAAGGTCCTGGACAACTCATTACCACCAAGGAGACTGACAAAGGACCCAAAAACCCTATAGGTGTTCCAAACACATTCAAACATTTGGACCTGTCATGGAAACCTGTTCTCAAGGTAAACACTCAAAGATTGAAAAGATTTTTTTTCAATATTGATTACAGATGTGTGTTTATTTTTATATTGATAACAACAAGACATACTTGAATTTGCCTTTAGGTTAATATTTACTGGCACTAGTACATATGTAATAGCTGTTTTTTGTAATGTTGACAAGATGAAAACAAAATGACTGGAAAAAAACATTTTCTAGTGTATGTTAGAATTTCCTGATTGTTTTGTTTGATGTTATTTAGGTGACACTTCATAAATCAGAGCCAGGAGGTGATCACAGCCCTGTTAAGTTTTCTATACAAGAAAGACAAGGAGACAGAGGATCATGTAAGTATCAATACACAGACTCTACCAGATTTGGAATTTCAAAGAGCTGTTTTACTATGTTATAAACTAAGCCTTATATTTACACCAACTGTATAAATCAGTTTGATACGACCTTGAGAAAACAGTGCAATATTCAGTTTCAAAATGCTATACTAAATGCTATGAACTCCCTATCACAGATCTGTTCAATGATAAAAATTAAGTATACTGTGCCTTGAATTAGTTATTTGATGATAAAATTAGTTTTTTCTGTTTATATAACTGAATCAGCATTACATGGTAGTACCTCAGAAAATTCAGCATTCATTGATAAATGGATGAATATGTTTATTTCATGTCCATCCGTCAAATGAAAATATCAGTTTAAGCATAATATACAATTGAACTTGGCTTATGATTTTCTCATATTTTAAAACATTTACTCATGTCATTTATTTAGATACACATTTACATATTTAATTCCATGTGTGTTATAATTTACAGTAGGCAAAGCCACGGATGGCACAGACCTGTCAAAGGAGGCAGCCATGGGGGGTGGCTTTTACACAAAGCCAGGGTCTGGCAAGGACAAGAGAACACTGCAGAGTGTCAAGACTCATTTCTATGTTGGCACAGAGGTACTTGTCCTCACAGTTACATGGGACATGTCCCTCCTCCAGTTCTGTTGGAGGGACCACACCCTGCCCTGGTTCCAGGGTGGAGTGTGGGATGCCCTGAAATAGCACATAACGTTTATGAGTCTGGATTCTCTGTAGTCTTCTATTTCTGTCTTGTGCAGCACCTGTGTGCTGTGTGCATGCACGACACACTTGTCATTCTGTCTATAGCTATTTACTATCCGTTTGTCTGTCTGTCTTTCTGACGCACATTCGTATACACCCACAGGGTTTATACAGAGCACTGCAGTTTCTTTCTCACAAAGCTAAACAATTCTTAATGCACAAAATGAACAGCATCTGGCATTTCACAGTGTTTGTCACTTGTATATGAATTGAAAAGCCGACTTGTTTCTTCTGATACTGTTGTGGATATATATTGTAGCATTATTGTACCCCGTGATGTTTAAAAATTCAAATTTTTTATACTTAAATATTTCCCAAACTATTTCTTGGCTTGGATCACCACATCATTTTTGGTAATTCAAAACTAATTATATCTTGATAGTGTTAGTGCTATGTATAATATTATGCTGTTTTATAAAAAAAAAAAAAAAATATACCAAAACCAATCACATCATGATTACAAGTGTTTGTTTTGTGAATGATAAAATAGATTGTATTTGCATTACCTTGATATACCAAGTACAATATAGTACTTTACCATGTAAACTATCACTCAAACAAATTTATAAATCCTGGCCCAAGTCAAAATTTTTTAGTAAGATTTCCAGTGAGGCCTGTGAGATCTAACTTGTAGATTTGTACAAATGTAGAAGTACAGAATATAGTAATTTGTCCTTGGTGGTCATGGGGAAAGGAAGTCAAAGGATTTTAAAACAGATTTCGCTAATCAATGATATCAAAAGTTACTCCAAGTATTAGGCAATCTACACTCTAGAATATAATTGGGAAATCTACAGATTAAAGTCTTCAATTGTTACCTTGTAACTGAGGTTTGGATGAAATTACAACATGGAACACAAAACGTATTTCCATAGGAATAAAAACAAAAGAAAACAGGATAGTGTGAAAACAGTTAACTGAAAGGTATATGATAGTACATGTATTATATTTTTTTACATATAATGTATTGCTTATAATGGGGCAGCTATACATTTAGTGTTAGTTATGGAATGTTTGAATGCTGTCCCCTTCAATGTTATCTCTGCTGTAGTGCCCTGTATATTATATCTGCTTTTTAAGACTGCATGTCTGGATCCTTCACTTGCACAATCTGTTATTTACATCTATTTTTTATATAAGATATAACAGATATTAACTGATTTTATTTCATCCTTTTCTTATTTCTTCTGTGAACACTAAGTAAACTCTGTTTCATAATATGTATGTCCTTTAGACATCTTAATGATACATATATTTTCCAATAAGATATTCAAAAGTATTTTATTTTTATTTTTGCAGTGTCCTCCTCTGTCTATCTTCAGTCCCCTATAATCATCTGTGTCCCATTTCCCCCCTTAATGTCAGTGTTTACCTCTCAGTCCTCAACCTCTGAACTTCAGTATTACTTCTGTCTTCTGAACACCAGCACCCCCTTTTTAAGTTCTCTGTCCTCTACATACCAGTGTATCCATTTATTTTCTCTATCACTCATTTATTCCTTAAACACCAGTGTATCCCTCAGTCAGTCCTCTGTTCCCCAGTGTATCCCTCAGTCAGTCCTCTGTTCCCCAGTGTATCCCTCAGTCAGTCCTTTGTTCCCTAACCACCAGTGTATCCCTCAGTCAGTCCTCTGTTCCCTAACCACCAGTGTATCCCTCAGTCAGTCCTCTGTTCCCTAACCACCAGTGTATCCCTCAGTCAGTCCTCTGTTCCCTAACCACCAGTATATCCCTCAGTCAGTCCTCTGTTCCCTAAACACCAGTGTATCCCTCAGTCAGTCCTCTGTTCCCTAACCACCAGTGTATCCCTCAGTCAGTCCTCTGTTCCCTAACCACCAGTGTATCTCTCAGTCAGTCCTCTGTTCCCTAACCACCAGTGTATCCCTCAGTCAGTCCTCTGTTCCCCAGTGTATCCCTCAGTCAGTCCTCTGTTCCCTAACCACCAGTGTATCCCTCAGTCAGTCCTCTGTTCCCTAACCACCAGTGTATCCCTCAGTCAGTCCTCTGTTCCCTAACCACCAGTGTATCCCTCAGTCAGTCCTCTGTTCCCTAACCACCAGTGTATCCCTCAGTCAGTCCTCTGTTCCCTAAACACCAGTGTATCCCTCAGTCAGTCCTCTGTTCCCTAAATACCAGTGTATCCCTCAGTCAGTCCTCTGTTCCCTAACCACCAGTGTATCTCTCAGTCAGTCCTCTGTTCCCTAAACACCAGTGTATCCCTCAGTCAGTCCTCTGTTCCCCAGTGTATCCCTCAGTCAGTCCTCTGTTCCCTAACCACCAGTGTATCCCTCAGTCAGTCCTCTGTTCCCTAACCACCAGTATATCCCTCAGTCAGTCCTCTGTTCCCTAAACACCAGTGTATCCCTCAGTCAGTCCTCTGTTCCCTAAATACCAGTGTATCCCTCAGTCAGTCCTCTGTTCCCTAAATACCAGTGTATCCCTCAGTCAGTCCTCTGTTCCCTAACCACCAGTATATCCCTCAGTCAGTCCTCTGTTCCCTAACCACCAGTGTATCCCTCAGTCAGTCCTCTGTTCCCTAACCACCAGTGTATCCCTCAGTCAGTCCTCTGTTCCCTAACCACCAGTGTATCCCTCAGTCAGTCCTCTGTTCCCTAACCACCAGTGTATCCCTCAGTCAGACCTCTGTTCCCTAACCACCAGTGTATCCCTCAGTCATTCCTCTGTTCCCTAATCACCAGTGTATCTCTCAGTCAGTCCTCTGTTCCCTAACCACCAGTGTATCCCTCAGTCAGTCCTCTGTTCCCTAACCACCAGTGTATCCCTCAGTCAGTCCTCTGTTCCCTAACCACCAGTGTATCCCTCAGTCATTCCTCTGTTCCCTGACCACCAGTGTATCCCTCAGTCAGACCTCTGTTCCCTAACCACCAGTGTATCCCTCAGTCATTCCTCTGTTCCCTAATCACCAGTGTATCTCTCAGTCAGTCCTCTGTTCCCTTAGTCCTAAACATCAGTGTTGTTTGAGAACCAGACATGTAGTCTTTTAAAGTATGGTGTTGACCTGTGTATCATGGTAGATATCTATACACAGAATGTAGACAAAGTAGGTATGGAGACAATATTAACTGATTGTGTGTACTTGCTCAGGTACCTAATGATTGCATGTTTTCTAGATTTATCTGTGATAACAGCATGTTTTGTTGTACATATCTAACTGTGTGAGCTTTCCTTTGAGTCTTTCTTTAATATTGCATGGTATATAAATGCATGGGCTTTGCACTTTTAGACAATTTAACTCGGCACTTTGTTTCTTCAGTACCACTGTATTATACTGGTTTTGAGGTAAACCTGTCAGTTATGGGTTGGAATTTAATATAAAATGTTTGATTGGCTGGGAACATCATTATATGATTATCACTTACTTTATTAGTATAACATACTTTTTAAGAACTTACAAGATTCAATTGATAACATATAAATTTGTGTGAAAACATCCTGGAGTAGAAAAAAAGTGTATTTCTTAACAGCATGCATTTTCGACAGAAACTAAGTGCCAAACTAACATTGGTTTCTGGCATCTTTTACTTAATAAGAAAAGAAGAGAGTGGACACTTGTAACACCAGTTTCATCTTTGATGCTGTAAATACTACTGCTCTTTGAAGAAATTTTAGTTCGTTACTGTCATTAGATCTAAGAACTTTGTAGATATTTTCACTGTGGGGCTTCTTGGTTTGGTGTTCTGTATGTCAGATAACGGGGGGATTGGTGATATTTATTTATATGGTATAAATGATAACATATAGAGTCAAGGTGTTTTATTGGGTGATAAAAGGTGAAGGTTGAGTGACAATTGATACAAAAGAGAATTAGGCTGTTTTATCAGGTGATAATAAATGGAGGCCAAGTGATGGCATTTATGGGGTGATGATTGATACCATATAGAGACAGGATGTGTTGTGATAATGAGTGGAGGTCAAGTGATGGTATTTATGGGGTGATGATTGATACCATATAGAGACAGGATGTGTTGTGATAATGAGTGGAGGTCAAGTGATGGTATTTATGGGGTGATGATTGATACCATATAGAGACAGGATGTGTTGTGATAATGAGTGGGGGTCAGGTGATGGTATTTATGGGGTGATGATTGATACCATATAGAGACAGGATGTGTTGTGATAATGAGTGGAGGTCAAGTGATGGTATTTATGAGGTGATGATTGATACCATATATAGACAGGATGTGTTATTGGTTGATAATGTGTGGAAGTCAAGTGATGGTATTTATGGGGTGATGATTCACTAGGGGGATAGAGTTTGATGGATTGAAGTATTTTGAATTACCATATTTTATTCCTACACAAATCTTAGGATGGTGAGATAGTTTACGTCGACTGGATGCCACAGAAAGATCAAGACACAGGGAAAATTCAGAGTAAGAAATTCAATGTCTGTTATAATTATAAGCCTAATCTTTTCCTTTATAATTGTTTATTGAGAAAAGGGTATTAACTTCCAAGTTTATCAAAAATTATTTGTTAAGATATGTATGCATCCTTATTATTTGAAATTTGAAGTTTTGTTGATCATTCATAATCTGAATCAATTATTTTCCATATTTTTCATATATATGAAGTAAATTATAATGATAAAAAATGTGACTGTAAGATATTTTTACATGAGCTATGCATTTCTATTTCATTCAAAGCAGACACATTTTAAAAGATTATTACTGTCGGATTAATAGCACAAGTTTTTCTTTACCAGCACCAAAGCCAGACTTCTATCATGCGATACACGATGGACCTGTCAACACGCTACAACGCTCTCCTTTCTTTAAGGATGTAGTTTTGTGTGTTGGAGGGTGGACCTACACAATATGGAAGGAGTCAATCAATGTAAGTTTTTATACTTTGTTTTAAATTAGAATTCAGTTTGCTTTTTATTTCTTTGTACATATCAAATAGAAGTCTGTACACATTGATATTGAGTGTTCATATCTCTTCACATTCCTACCAATCATAAATCTGATTACATAAAAATATATATAAAATTGATATGTTTGAGATATATAGGAATAGTGTAAGTCATGTCATTTTTTAAAACTACTAGAATGTCAGGTAGATGCTTTTTCAATGTTGTTATCTTTTAAACATCAAGGAGCAAGTCATTTATGGGAATAATTAACACACATATATTTCCAACAGAACACGTTTTTATCTGATAACAATTTTTGAAAAATGTGAGGTGGGAAACATATGGAAAGCAGAAATGGATGTATACTGTAAAAAAAACTATCTGAAGACCAGGTAAAGAACAGCTGTCTTATAGAGAGGATAATTATCTGCAGTAGCTGGAAAACCAATAACTCGGAAACTACATGTTGATTCTAAGATACTTACAGAGAACAACAAGTTGATCCTAAGGACTCCTTGGTTAGTGTTTACTTATAGATAACTACAAGTTGATCCTAAGGACTCCTTGGTTAATGTTTACTTATAGAGAACTACAAGTTGATCCTAAGGACTCCTTGGTTAATGTTTACTTAAAGAGAACTACAAGTTGATCCTAAGGACTCCTTGGTTTAGTGTTTACTTATAGAGAACAACAAGTTGATCCTAAGGACTCCTTGGTTAGTGTTTACTTATAGATAACTACAAGTTGATCCTAAGGACTCCTTGGTTAATGTTTACTTATAGAGAACTACAAGTTGATCCTAAGGACTCCTTGGTTAATGTTTACTTAAAGAGAACTACAAGTTGATCCTAAGGACTCCTTGGTTTAGTGTTTACTTATAGAGAACTACAAGTTGATCCTAAGGACTCCTTGGTTAATGTTTACTTATAGAGAACTACAAGTTGATCCTGATGACTCTCTGATCAGTGTTTACTTATAGAGAACTTAAGTTTGATTCAGATGACTCCTTGTGCCTACTGATGTTGTACCACAGGTTGATCTGACTTGGTCATGTTAGATCAATGATCACAGTAGGGAAAACATACCTGATGACTCTGATGAGGGTTTACTTGTTGGCTATGTATAGTCAATTCTAACCATGTTTTAATAGTGTTTACTTGTGGGGCACTACAGGTTGATCCTAATGAGGCCAAGAGGAATGTAAGTATGCTAAGGACAGCAGTCCTTACACGGCTAGAGTTGGATGCTGTGATGATTGACCAAAAAATGTTTTGAAATGTGAATTAATTTTTTTGTGGAAATAATCTGAATTGAAAAGATTTTTTGTCATTAACAACTATACACTACTTTACACTTATATTTAATGTGTCAATAAAAAGTTTAAAACCCCTACATGCATACTGTACAAAGATCTAGGTATACCAAATAATGTACTATGGTGCTTTTCTTCTTTGTGACAATTTATCTCTTTTTATATGATACACACATAACCTTGTATTTCTTACAAAGTAGACCCTTATCACATCACAAAGCTATGGAATTTATGATGGTAGGTCACTGATTGTAAATGAAGCCCTTGTATTGAAATGGTAAAAAGATACAACTGGACATATATATGATTGTCCTGGATGGTGTTGTTTCTTGTTTAATAGCATGCTCAAATGAACTTTCTTCTCAAAAACATCAGGTGATATAAATACCTTTTTCAAAATTCTATCTGTGGTACAGTATATTAATTTGGAACATTTCATATTGCCCTCAGTCAATGTCCAGTTTTAATCTAAAGACTACAAGTTCTCAACCATTAACTGTATTTTGACCATTATGGATCTTCAGTGTTATAGGCAAATCCTATCACTACAGCAAGCACAGTGTTTTGATACACCTCCTTGAGTAATTCCATCAGCACTTTGGGTACATCCTTGATTCCTACACTTGTATGGTATGATACCTTAAAATCTTGAAATCGCTATCTTAATATCCTAACACCTTGTACAGAAGCTTGTAATTTCTGTTTTTTAATACAGTATAAATAGTAATAAATTAAGTAACCCCCTCCCACTCCTCCTCTTAGTCAGTCCCTACCCCCATCCCACCCTCCAAGTCCGTCCCTACCCCCACCCCCCAACCCCCTTAAAAAAGAGAGAGAGAAAGAAAGTGCTGTGTTGCTACTGTGGTTAAAGGTAAGATCTACCAACAGAGAAATATCATTACCAAATAACACAACTTCCATGTTGTGTATACCATTTTATATATCCTGTAATAAGCCCATGTCTGATGATAAACCCACTATATAAATTGCAACCAAGTAGAAATGATCATTGATTAAAGTAAGCCCACCCCAAAAATTAGCACAAGATTTTGTATTGGCCTCTCAGCCTTCTATAAGATTAATATGATATCTAAACTGTTGCTGATGTGGTTCTTTTTAGCTGATAGATACCGTCAACTTTTATGCTAATTGAAATAGATACACTGATGACCCTAAATTCAAGTGACTCTACTTTTGTTTGAAAATAGAATCGGCGATGATTCTTGATACCTTTGAAACATGAAAAGGATTCTACTGATATGTTTGACCTGTTTTCATGCTTTAGTAGCTTAAAGGGATATTCCATACAAGTTAGGATTTTATGGGATGCTTTTGAAGACACCTGTAAAAAAATAATTTTCTTGTGTTCTCATGGAAATTTTACATATGATATCTAATTTACAGAAGTTCATTATAGAAACAGCTAGATCAATTTACAAATGTTCATGCAGCCCTGATTGCATCATAACAGGTTTGTGTTGTTATAAGCTGAACAGAATTAGATATTTGTGGAAATCATAAAATCAATAGAAAATAAGCCAAATAAAGAAAATAGATTGTATCCCCAGCAGAAATTTTAGTGAACAGCATATACACTTGTGTATTTACTCAATACTCTGCATGAAACCTTTGATCTGGTTCCGGATTTCCCTATGTGTTATAGCTAACAATGGTTTAAAAAGTCATTAGAGTGAGTTCTTAAAAGGTACAGAACAGCCAGAAATTTTGCAACTTGGGCAGAATATCCCTTTTAACCAAATCATCTTTTTTAATTAAAGAATAAAGGTGATTGAAGTAGAATAGTAATACCATATTGTGTGTTGTGTTATAATATATAATTGGAATGCTATAGTGTGGTAGTGCAAGTCTACAAGCTATTTTACTTTACAGTGTTTGGAGAAGCTCGGTCACAATTTACTTTTCCAGATGTCCATGCCACCATTAACAATGTTGGATTTCTCAGATTTTACAGATTGGCCTTGTGACTTATATATTGTTTTGACTGATTATATCACACAGTAATGCTACTTATTGTACTGGTGGGATACAAACCAGATTCTTCTCAACAATGCTGATATGATTTTTGATAAAAAGTATCTGAGGTTTGTGGTGAATTATGTTGAATCTCTGTTATATTCAGAAATTAGTAAAGGTGCTATCATTTTATGCAATGATTATTTATGTACATGTATTTAACAACACAAAATTAATTTTCTATAAGGCCAGGATATTGGTGGTTTAAACCTAGTTAATTTATATAAACAGAGTGGTCCAATCCTGCAGTCTTCTGCCAGTACTGTCAAGTTAAGTGCTGGGCACTGGTCACCATCAAGACCAGGCGTGTTCTATATAGCCAAAGTGGACGGCAGTGTGGATGTGTGGGATCTCCTTGACAAGACACATGAGCCATGTATGACACAGAATGTATCGCCTGTACCAATCACATCTCTCTACCCATTCCCTGTGTCACGTGAGTGGAGCAGTTTAGACCGGAGTCTTTAGACAGCTTTTTATTGGATAGTCTTTTGAGAATGATTTAAAATTGTAAAGCACATCAAAATGATAATAGAAAGCTTCTCATAACAGTAAACATTTGTATTGATCAGAAATTTAAGGCTGTGATTCATGGGGCCATATACAAGGTAATGTTCTGGCAGGCAGTTCATTAAATATTCTAATGAAAAGCTGAAAGTAATAAAAAAAACGACCTTCATTTTTATACCCCCATGTAACAAAGTGGGAATCAACTTTTCCATCCGTCTGGCTATGCATTCCCTTAGTTTACAACAGATCTTTTTAAAAGTTTGTGGGAATGGCCATTACAATATGGAAATGTGCCTCCTGAAAAGACTTTGAGTTTTCCAAATTTATAAAAAAAAAATGAACACAATTTTGTTCAGCTATGCATTTTGAGTAATAGCTGTTTTTAGGAGTATCCAGTTAACTTGAAATTTGGTTTACACCTTTGTTTAAAAGTACCATTAAATGTAAAGAACCGGTTCACTAAACAGGTTTTGCTATAAATAACCATTACTTCTTTTTCATTCAACAAACTATGCTCAAATGGTATAACTGATTAAAATCGAAAGTAGGAAACATTAGTTGTTTCAGAAACAGTTAATATGGCAACATAATCTCGGCCTCTGATTGATTGAAATTAAGATATTGCCCAATTTTGACTAAATTTGGTTAATAAGGGCATTAGGGGATGCCAACCATCACTGTATAGGTTTATTTGTAATGAAAACTATGCTGAGGCAAACTGTGGTCATTCATTGGTTGAAATTTAGATATTGTCTGATTTTTACCTAATTTTCTATAAAGAGGTAAGTAATAGGGAATGACAAACTTAATTTTCAACTGTTTTTGACTTTTTTCATGGAGTTTTGACCAAACTGATTTGTATATAGAGGTCTTTGTATCTGCAAGGGATATACGTTATCCTCAGGATGACAGTTCTAGTTGTCAGCTGTAATTGTAGTTTGAGCTCAGACATTTATCTTTTATTTAAGTTGACTTCTTCAGAAAAAAGACTCCTGGTCCTTTTGTTTTTTGGTGATTATCATTTATATTGATACCCAGTAAAATTAACTGTTTTTTGTACAGATATTATATTGTTATGTATATCTGAACAGAGAAGCAGCACCTGATGGCTGTAGGTGACACAGCTGGGACACTACACATACTAGAGATTCCTTGGAGTCTGAGACAACCTACAGCCAATGAGGTAAAACCCAACTAAGTTTCATGATCATTTGTCAATGTTACTTATACTCCAAAAAATCAACATACCAGTACTTCAAGACTCTGTTGTGCTATATAAATGAATCCACTCACATGAAATCAATTATTTTAATGTCTTTTCTGTAGAATATAATTTTGTATTCTATAAAGTGAGGACTTTACCAGTAATGTAATTCTGAGGCTTTTCTACTACAGTACACAGGAATATCCAATTACTTTGAGCGTGAGGTGAAGAGGCGTGCTTTCGTCGTGTCACGCTGGGACTTCAGAGAGATTGAGAAGAGGGAACTAGAACAAGAACATAAACGGAAGATGGGGGTCAGTATCAAGGATGTTCAAACAAATAGTATTTAGAAAATAGATACTTGGAGTACTTTATAAATTGTGTACTTTTGATTTATGTTGTTTTATAAGTTAATGTGAATTATATCAGTCTCAGACCATCATGAAACAAGTAGATTTGATTCAGTGTTTATTCTAACAGTTTTGATCAATCTGTCCTTACGTGCAGATCTTTATTACCCAATTTCTGTAACTCTTCAGCAGTGTTCCCTAGTGATTCAACTTAATATATCATACGATCATGTTAGGTAAAGGATATTAAAAGGGCCCCTGAGTAGTCTCATGGTCAACCTCAGTCAAAGTACAAAGAATTTATCTCTTTTTTTTTTCAGATTGCACCAAATGTACAGCTATCAGAGGAGGAAATTGAGTATCGTCAGAAACAAGAATATGCTGCATATATCGATGAGGAAAACACATTCTTAAGAGAACTGGGGCTGAAGGATGATGATGAACCACTGCCTGAAACATGACCTGAAAAAATTTCCAACTTATAAGTTTCAGGGAAAATCGTGAAACAGATGTTTTAGGACTCAGGAAAACAATTAGATTTTTAGTTATAAAAAACTCTTGTTTTCTTTCAATGATATGCTCATCCTTTGTTAAACTAATGCCTTCATATCAACTGGAATATTCTTCAGTTAGCTGAGAGCTATACAGACAGAGGGTACCATCAAGACCACAATAATGATACATACAAGCCTATCTGTAATAAAGATTGTTAGTCTCAATCCATGAATGTCTTGTGAAAATCAGATTCCTTAGATATGAAACATATATGATACTGTATTGTGTGCATCATCCTGTGTACAACTATTACTGATTGTGTAATAAACTTTTAAGTGATGCAGCCACACCAAGTATTTTTTCAATTTGGTGTTAAGCTTTCTTATTAGTAGAAATACATTACTGACAAGGTTTCCAGGTATTATTTAATATATTATTGAAATAGATGTATGAGTAGTATATCCGTGATAATATGTCTTTGGCAAATAGTAATAACTTTTTGTTGTTGATTTCTGTTTATCTTAACGCCATGAATTAGTGTTTACATGAATTTATTTTGATATGATAAATTATTAAAAAAAGAAAAATGAAACTGCCAGATTAAATCTTGTCTTTTTTTCTTTTAAAACTTATTTTGATAATTCTTTTATCCAATTCTTGGCCAGTTATATTAATTGCGTATAAAATGGTTCACAAATTTCCATGGCAACCAATATTGGATGGATTTGTTCTTTATGTAAATTGTGGAAACAAATCTTTGTCTCATTATTCAAACATTGTCACAAAAACTAACACTCAAATGGTTGTTTTATTTACACATTGGAGATGGGAGTTAATCCACTATAGTGTGCTTGTTCCTCTTCATGAACGGCATGTAGGGTTTATTTCCCTATGAACAGCCAGGGTCATTTTGAGATGGGGTCTCCAGGTGGCTATTTTAAATAATTTAACTGAACAATACACTGGAGGACTGTCACATGCCATCCATAGTAACCAGGGTAAAGAGTCTTGCCCAAGGACACAACCAAGTCAGCACAGACCAAACAGTTTCTTAGTTCCTGAGAAACACAAGCCGAGACAGGTTGGGATTCACATTTTTACCTGAGCTTGTGTGGTCATGTTCTGACTTGGCCACCATGGCCCCTTCATGATAGGATGAACACTTTATTCAGAATCCAAGAATAAATATTCATGGTAACCTCAGGTCACATAACAATATATCCCAAACTGGATATGTTAATTTTCTATGGCAATATGTTTTCCTGGTACTTATTATTCAAGTAATGCTTCTGTAAATTGGCACTGATCTAGTCATTTCAATTCCTTTCCAAAATGACCACCTGAAAGCCATTTTGTTTCTCCTGATCACTCCCAAAATCAAACAAGGAAAGATCAAAGGGAACAAATGTATGAAATTTGAGAGATATCCATTCAGTACTTCTTCAGAAATAGCAATAACAATCTTTACTAGGCAAAATCCTAGATGGCTGCCTGTCGGCCATCTTGTTTTTCTGATCAGTCCCAAACTCAAATAGGCACAACTAGGGACCTAAAGAGCCCTTTACATGAAATTTGAGAAAGATCTTTACAGAAGTTCTCAAGAAATAGTGATAACAAACTTTGAAAATCAAAATCCAAGATTGCCGCCTTTCGGCCATTTTGTTTTCCTGATAAGTTCCAAAACTACATGGGCACAACTAGAGACAAAGGGAAACCTACATATGAAATCTGACAAAGATCCATTGCATACTTCTCTAGAAATAGCAATAACAAACTTTCAAATTTAAAATACAAGATGGCCACCTGTCAGCCATTTTGTTTTTTTTATCAGACTCAAAATCAAATGGACACAACCAGGGACCAAAGGGAACCTAAATGTGAAATTTAAGAAAGATCCATCAAGTACTTCTCAAGTGAGAGTAATAACAATCTTCATTGAAAAAAACCAAGATGGCTGCCTCTCTGCCATTTTGTTTTTTTGATTAGTCCCAAAATCAAACGGGCACAACTTGGGACCAAGGGAAACCTACATAAGCAATTTAAGAAAGATCCATCCAGAAATTCTCGAGAAACAGCAATAAAAATTGTTTAAGGACGGACGCAGAGCAATCTAAATAGCCCATCTGATGATGAAGGGCTAAAAATCACTCAAGGGAGTAGGGTTGTTAAAATATAGATAAATAAGTTACCTGGGAAATTATTCCAGATCAAAGTACACTTAATACATATTATGGTCTATTCTATCATTAGTATCACAATTATTGCTCGACTGTTGATCACACAACTAAATTTACATTATCGTAATTTCAAAAAATTATGATCCTGTTGCCCACCATTGCTTGATCTTTATTTGTTCTTTAAAAGTTGGATTTTTTTTTTCTCTTATCAGTCCCAAAATCAAATGGGCACAACTAGTGACCCAGGTTAATCAACAAGTCCTATTTGAGAAAGATTCATCCAGTCCTTGTTAAGAAATAGTGATAACAATAACCAGAGTTGTTAACAGACAGACCACTGACGTAGTGCTATTTAAAAAGCCAATCATCATCAGTTGGTGGGCTAAAAATAACACAATACTAATAGAAACTTTAACAATTTATTTAAGACCAGAGTGCCATTATTTACTTTCCTATCACTGATTTCATGAGAATGCCAATCTCAATTCACAGAACAAAACAATTTTATCAACCTATGACTTGTTGATTCTACAAAATGATTCACAACCTCAGACTGTTTAAAAGTTTATACCATGAAACTGCCCATCACAGTCCACAAAACGGTGTGATAACTAACTAACATATCCACAAATGTTCTGGTCTTGTATAAAAATATCAATCACAGTTAGTGGTGGAATAATGTAGTATACACTCGTCCTTTACCGTGGAATAATGTAGTATACACTCGTCCTTTACCGTGGAATAATGTAGTATACACTCGTCCTTTACCGTGGAATAACGTAGTATACACTCGTCCTTTACCGTGGAATAACGTAGTATACACTCGTCCTTTACCGTGGAATAACGTAGTATACACTCGTCCTTTACCGTGGAATAACATAGTATACACTCGTCCTTTACCGTGGAATAACGTAGTATACACTCGTCCTTTCCCATGGAATAACGTAGTATACACTCGTCGTAGTATACACTCGTCCTTTACCGTGGAATAATGTAGTATACACTCGTCCTTTACCGTGGAATAACGTAGTATACACTCGTCCTTTACCGAAGTGAAATTCATATTACTGCATCAAAATTAATATAAATATATTATGGAAATGTAACAGTAAATGTCAAATGAATATGTCACTGAAAAACATAAGCTTCTTAATTTTTTGATAGATCATTGAAAGCAGAGAGGTGACCAATAGACAAGATTGAAATGATGAATAAGAGGGGAGATAACTCTTCCAAAACCTAAATTATTTCATGTCATGGTAATACAGCCAAACAAATTAAAAAAGAAATCAATCCACATGTGAGAAAAGAGATCTACTGACAAGATTAAAATTTTAAACAAAATGAGGAGATCTCTTTCTCAAGAATCATTCTATCAAATAACTTCAGGAATACAATTAATATGCATGTCACCATCAAGTGACAAAGTTTACACAGTGATACTAACAGAGGTTGCTTAAATACTGAGAGACATATCCAGATTGAAATACAAGGCATTTACTACAAGACTTCAGCAATCAAAATGCTGTTCAGGATAAAAAGTACTACTTCATAAACCCCAATCTGTTGAGTCAAAAACTTGTTAACTGGTCACCCTTATTTTGGTATTGTACAAATCTGATGTTTAACTAAACAGACCAACTTTCTGACTATACAACCACATGATTGCAGTGCATTGTATTTTTAGTGGTCCTTTAGCCCTTTATTACTGGTCCCTAATCAATGGATTTGGTCAATGTAAATAATGTTTATATTCGTTATAACTGGAAAATAAATGTTTAAAAATCATCATACCACAAGGATTTTTTTAACTGGGTAAAGTCACACTCTATAACATGTGGAAAGTTAAGCCTTCAGTGTATATTTTGGACTTTTGTTCAAAATGATTCAGATTAACCCTATCTCAATTATAACACAACTGTTTGAACACTCACATTATATGGCCATCACGATTATACTAATACAAAAAAAAAAAAAAAAAAAACACTGAACTGTCTTAAAAACACTCATGCAAGTATGTATGTAACATTGCATTTTTATAACATATACAGAATGCAACTGGATTAGTCCCATCAGAAAGACCTGTCACTTTGAAAGTGATCCACATGTAGGTTGGGTGGACCGAAGACTATATGTGTACATCAGAATGTAATGCAGACTTGGCTTAAACAGCATACTTATAAAACAGACAATATATTCCATCAATATGTTTTAAATCACATCTACAATCATACATGTATGTAATTATGTATCTCTAGCTTCTATTTCTTCTATATGAATTGTTTTAATAACTTTAAGAGTAAATTATACATCAAGTTAACATAAAGTAGTGTACATTTCCATTATCTATAAAACTTCATTATAACTCATGTTAACTTAACTTGCCCCTACCTCCTGGTTCATAAATGTATTGTGCATATGATTATCTGCAATAACTCAATGAAAATACCATTAACAGCATAAAAGTGTGACTTTCTCTCCTTTACCTCATAAACGGTTACTAAGTAAAATTAATGTTACAATAAGATGGTGTATATAAGATATGTCTTCAACATGAACTTTGTTCTTCAAGTGGGATCAAGTTAGATGTCAACCCTTTAACATATGCTGATCACTACAGTTTTCAGGTGAAGGGCTTTATTTCCATCTTACAGTGCAAAAGCAAACTAAATCTTTCTTAAGGTTTAACCTCCACCCCCCCCCCCCCTCCCCCTCCAACCCTGACATATGTTGAGGCCAGAGACAGGAGCTGATAAGAGTGAATACTATCACCCTCCACATAGACATACATTGAGGTAAGGGATAGTATCTATTAAGTGTAAGCACTATAACCCCCAAAACTGACATACCTTTGAGGTTAGGGATAGGGGCTGAGAGGAGTAAACACTATAACCCCCAAAAACTGGCATACTTTTGAGGTTAGGGATAGGGGCTGAGAGGAGTAAACACTATAACCCCCAAAAACTGGCATACTTTTGAGATCAGGGATAGGGGCTGAGAGGAGTAGACACTATAACCCCCAAAAACTGACATACTTTGAGGTCAGGGATAGGTGCTGATAGGTGTAAACACCATAACCCCCAAAAACTGACATACCTTTGAGGTCAGGGATAGGGGTTGGTAGGTGTAAACACTATAACCCCCAAAACTTGGCATACCTTTGAGGTCAGGGATAGGGGCTGAGAGGAGTAAACACTATAACCCCCAAAAACTGGCATACCTTTGAGGTTAGGGATAGGGGTTGATAGGTGTAAACACTATAACCCCCAAAACTAGGCATACCTTTGAGGTCAGGGATAGGGGCTGAGAGGAGTAAACACTATAACCCCCAAAAACTGGCATACCTTTGAGGTCAGGGATAGGGGCTGAGGGGAGTAAACACTATAACCCCCAAAAACTGGCATACCTTTGAGGTCAGGGATGATAGGAGTAAACACTATTACTTCCCAACCTGTGACATACATTGAGACCTGTGACAGAGGTGGTTCAGAGCAGAGAAATATCTCTTCCCCACATAATCCTCATACAGATTAAATAACAGGTAGGTTCAATAACAGGAACAAAAATTCATACTAAAAATATGTTATGGTGGAAGTCATAGAATGTATCCATCATGTGATAATTAAGCGCTGACAAAAGCATAAAACATTGCAACAAAATAGAAATACATTACTTATGGTTTTCCTGATTCTATTTCAGACTGAAAGGACCTGAAGTAATCACAACAAAGCTTTTGTCTTTGTCAAAATAAACAATATCAAATAGTTCATAAACAGATAATAATTTACAATTTTGTAAACTGTGACATTTTTCATGTAAAATACAAACTAAATTCAAATCCAAAGTTTCCTTTAAGAAACAGGAATCTGTTCTGGTATGGAAATGTATTGTAATAAGTACCAGTAAGTTGAATCTGTGTTATATACAAAGGTTACATTCAGTGTTTAGCAAGCGTAAATGTTAGAGACAAATATCAATTCAAAACTTGCCATACTTATCCCAAGCCAATGAGAAATGGGGGGTAACACATCCTCTGACTCAATGTCAGGGTTGGATTTATTACAGGACTATAAGCATAGGAGGACAACACATTTCTTCTGACTCAAATGGCATCTTTATAAACTGCACATTAAATTCTTGTTCAATCTTTTTGTTCTGATAACCTGAGATCTTTACCTCATGTTTTAATATCACCAGAGAACAGTCAAGTATTATCATAATTGTACATCTAAGTCAAACAAAATACTTGCTGATTGCAAACCAAATGTCAAAAGGATGAAATAGTTCAATCTTTTTACAATTCGACTTGCTAAATGAATGCCCATTATGTGGTATTATAGCACAAAATATACTCATATCACTGATTATTTGCCAATAAAAGTACCATCTGATAGCAAAATAGATTGGTCATGACAAGCAGACGAGTGCATTTGTAGAGTCCCTAGATAGCCAGACATAGGTTTATTGTTGAAAAAAAGTTAAATGTCGGCTGATTGGAACTTTTAGAAAATTATACCTAAACGAGTAGCTATAAATAGTACAAATAATTATACTGTCCTACAAGGATTACAGAAGCAAGTGCAACTAAAAGGTTTCCATATGAGAATCAGCTTGTCTTTCCAAGAATGACAAATTGTCCCACAAAGTTGGCCAGCCCTATGAGTATAAGGAAAGAGTGGAAGGTTATCGTTGGAACAGTCAGTGTGTTCTGCTGGTGACGTATCACCATATACACAAGACATGGCAGGGCAATTGCGTAGGACAGTCCACAAAATGCTCCCACAAATCTGAAACATCAAAACTTTTAATGTACTTAAGATACACATTTTAATATGTGGTTTCTATCTTTATTTACATTTTATCATATAGTACTTTATGTTGTCTTCAAATTAATCCAAATTTAAGACTATTAAAAAAAGATCAACTTACTTATATAATTTGTATAAAACAAACATCTAGAAACAGGTATCATGAATATGGTCTAAAATGAAATATCTAGACAAATATAACTTTGATTAAGATAAATATAAAACAGCTGTTTGATTTAGACAAGGCCATATATATATAAAAAGTTCCACTTTAGGATAACTTTATCGCTAAAGACCAATTAACATTAAACAAGCATATCGAGTATTATTGCTGAAGCAATATACGTCCTCTACCACCCTCCCACCTCTGTAATACTGTAATATTGAATTTTTTTTTTAAAGAACATTAACAATGACCTTGACCCAACAACCCTAAAACTTTAACTTGTCCAAGATAAACGTGTGAAGTTAGAGTGCTGATAAATTTTCACAGATACAGGGATAGACACAAGCAGAAATAGATGGTCCGAGAGGAAAACCATCGTAATCTCTGAATTCACAGTAAGAAAATATCAATGAGACAAACTATGAAGGTCTAATCTTATACCTAATAAAGAGGATTGTGTACAAGTGGAATAGGAATACCATTCTAATGAGAAACTGCTATATTGATGTAAATAGGTTAACAGTATACTCACCCGATGATAGATCCAATATGAGGCAGAAACACAGCAAACACAACACACACAGCCACTATGCAGATATTCAGTCCCAACACATGCTTGAAACTAGGATGGAAATAAAGCAGGGCATACACCAGTCTGAATCATGTCAAATCTAACAAGCAATATTTATTGAAGCCTAAGTTATATCCAATCCTAAACTCTTCAATAATCTTCAGGAAATGGACGAGTTTAAGGTGGTGCAATCCATTGCATGGCAGTACAAAACATACGAAAATCACAGAAACTGGAAATTTTTCGCTGACCCTGCACTCTACAACTAAAATGTATTCATAGAGCTAAGTGGTGTATTACAAATCAAGCAACATACTGTTATAGCAAAGTATGAAATTGTTTGACATCAACTGCGCTTTAGAATACACTAGTATGTTACTTACCTAACACAAAAGTAATTACCAAAAAGAGGTCAAAGACCACAGTTACAAATATCAAGACATGCACATACATATATTGAGGTATTTTGGAGTATTATTCTGAATGTTTTGTTGTATTAAATCAATTGCTAACAATAGTTGTAACTAGGGGCATGAGGCCAATAGTTGCTATTGAGTAAAGGTTTCTTTCTAAGATTTTGTATCCTGGATTTTCGACCTCTGTTGGCTAAGATTTCATATTAAGGTCAGTTATTGACAAGTACTGCAACCATAAGGTCAAACATCTTCACTAGTTTGTGTTTCTCTATCAATATTTTGAATAGTGATAAAACATTTTAAGATTGGTATAAGTAGACCAAGCTGAGTAAGTCATAATTTTGTAAAGGCAGATGGTGGACGGAGAAAATTAACTTTTGAAAAAGTTTGCATAACAGTTATTTTACCTCGGCCATACAGATCCAAACACAGTGTGTAGAAACTGGACCCGGAATATATACAGCAAGAGTGGAAATACACACATCATCTGGAAAAACAGTCCAATCCGTGCCACAAATGCCAACACATATGTGTCTGCCATGTTATTTAAAAGATTCTGAAAAACATCACAACATCGGGATTAAAAACTCCATTACCAACAATGCTTCATCATTAGTTTTCATTCCTTATTCAAGACCTATGTATTTTTTACTGGGAGTACTGAATTTGATTTCATCCCAGTTGCTCAAAGCTTGGTTAGAGTTAAGTAAAGTTTAGTGAAAAAAATGCAGATATGAATTTAACAAAATTGAGAACATTCATTATCATTTCACTGTTGGAGATATATTGAGACATGTCAGATTGGCAATGTTCCATTGTCATTTTTTATATAAAGGTCTTTGTTTTTTAAATTTACACAAACCATTGGTTAACTCTAACAAAGTTTCAAGCAAATGGGACCTTAAATATATATATAATTAAGAAATATATTCTGTAAAAAAAAAAAAAAAAGGTTAAAAATTCAACCTGTCTAAGGTAAAACATATGTACAGCATACTTATAACATTATTATGTATATTTAAGACCTGGAATTGAACATAACTGGTATACTGTACATTTACCACAAACCAATTTAAGCTTACTGAGAAGTATTTATATCAACACCTTTCATACAACTGCTTTACTTTTTGTTTTTCAATGATATGTAAACATTTACCTATCACTACAAATATAAGGTGTAAAATAACCTTATCAAATAATCACAGCAACTTACATCTTCTATGCAGTCTTTAGACATTGGAAATGAGGAGTAGAACATCACTCCCATGTAAGTATAGGTGAGAGCTACCAATACATAGGCTATCACCAAGTCACGCACCTGTAACACAAATATACATCATACACCAAGGTGGCAAGAATCAGGTATTTTTTAACAAAGTAATTTGAAAACTAAACAAAGTGCGGAGGAAGTAGAGAGAAATTGCTGTTAAACAAATGCTTTGTGTAATTGTAGGTGCATCCTTTTCTCTATAAACAATCTGAGAGAATGATCGCAATCATCATTATAATTCAGGTTGACATGCATTTCAGTAGCACTTTATTAGCAGAACTTATACATGACAAAACCATACTTACATTATTTTCTGGATGTTTTTGGTTTCTAACAATGGATATCACACAATTCTGAACAAAGTAGGCTAGGGCTGCAACTCCAGTCAGGGCTGCAAATGTGCCCTTGAACACTGGAATAGAAATGACCAATGATCTTATCTTCTGGGGTAAGATATAAATAAGGAATAAAAACCTAAACATTAATATATCAGTTAGTTTACATTTAGAATCTGTATATATCTACATTCTTGAAATTGTGAATACAGACTACATGTATACAAGTTAAGTCTACAAATGATATTCATCCTTATCTTTTAACTCAGGACCACGAACACTTGACTAAGAAAAGAAATGCATCAAGTTTACCCATGCAGAACACATTTGCATGTTGTTAAAAAAAGAGAAATATTTGGTGTAGTAATACACCATGGATGATCTGTTATCATGAAGTACGTTAATTGTCTGGCTTTGTAAGCTTCTTTATCCTGAACCATCTGACCTGATGAAGCTAAGCCAGATTCTTTTAAACCAATCACATCAATGAAGACTTTGGACTTAGCCACATTAATTTTCCAAGCAGACAGTTTGATTTCCCCAGTGACAAAAATGCCAGGCTTAACACAAATTTTAAGGGGTAGAGCAATTACAATGGTAATTCATGGTCACATGTCGTGTGGCAGATTGGTGATGCCCAGTGAACATACTACTGGGTCAGTTCCAGATCACTCAAGGAGCAGTCATCTACAAATATTGTCCACACAACAGGGCAGGACAATTTGTTGTATCTACACTACAGGTTCAAGACTGATGCATATTTCAGGCATTCACTGTAGACTCATCAATGTTTGACTGCCAGCAATTGATGGAGTGTCAAGAGTAACATCACGTGTCAGCCTTATGTCAAGCCACTTCTGGTACCATGTAGATAGCAACAGTGTTTTGATTTGATGCACATTGTATGACTGGGTGAGGGATATGTCAGTGGATTTGTGTGGTGTTCATTAACGAGTCTAGATTTTCTTTGTACTACCAAGGCAGCAGAAAAAGGGTATATCGCAGATGCAGTGAGCGTTTTACCAATGTATGCATGGTTATGCAATAAATTCTGAGGGGCTCATGCCATGGTTTGCGAAGACATTTCCTAAGAAAAATCTCAAAGCAGTCAGATACTGAGACAGATCCTCCAACTATATTCAGCAAGAAAATGCTCGACCACATGTTGCTAGAGTCTGTCATGATTTTCTCACAGTGAACAATGTAAAACTTCTAGAATGGCCTCCATATAGCCCTGATATCTATTAAACATCTTAGGGATGAGCTTGATGGACAAACAAGAATACATAGAACCTCCAACTAACCTGGCCCAGATGAATTCAGCATTGACTTGAGGTAAATTAAACATTTTAAGAAATTTCATACATAAGAGAATCTGTACAGGAATCCTGGCCAGAGATGTCCACACCAGGTACTGAAGCATCATTTTCTATAATGTGGGTATCCCACTCACAGTGACTAACAGTAATACAAGTGACGTCATACACACTTTCCTTTTCAGTATTGTAAAGAGTAGACTCATCCCTTAATTTAAATTTAAGGTTTTGTATAAATGTTCAAAACGATCATAAGTTATCAACTGCTTAACTCACTTGGGCCTTTTTTTGTCGGATATAAAATTAATGTATCATAGCAGTCATGATCTAAAAACTTACTTGGTATATGTTGGCTGCTGCTAGCAGGAATGCTAAGGTCAAGATGAAACCCCCATTGTGAAGCGTTGTAAGCCACAAATATCACAAGGTAGGTCACAGAAATAGTACCTGAGCAATATATCATATGACAAAGACTTTTGTTAATCATTCATCAATAATATTACCCATAATATAATAATAATATAGTATTACTCTGAATCTCTCTCTTCACTGCTAGTAGCATTTCCTCAGAAAGTGATTTACATAAACAGTTTTCAAAGTGCATTTGCAAAAGTATTTTTTATCTATTGAGAATATTTCATTATAGCAGGAGCACACAAGTGAAAATGATAAGTAACACACAAACAATATCATTGTTTTGTAAGTTAATAGTGTTGCATATTAAAATGAATTCCTTTGTGACTCATACTTAAGGACTTGGCAACAAATTGCCAGGTGCTGGCTCTAAATGAAAATCCTGCCCTTTACAAGTATTGAAAAAGATAGCTTTTTTCACATTGTTAAATGAAAATTATTGACGAAGATAGCTTTTCATTATCTACTTTTTATTGTGTTACAATACATAGGGTACAGATACATAGGGTCAAGTATACAGATACTCACCTAAAGAATTAAATTTTGTGAAGAAAGTAGGCGACTTAAAGTTGATAAGGGGGAGAAGTACAGCGACGAGGAACAATGGCACAGTGTGGTCCTCCTGCCAAACACGGTCAAGGGTGGCATCATGGGTGTGGCTAGCTGACCCCATCCACATCAGGTGTGGAAGTGAGTTCATGCTGGCATTATGAGTTAAGTACACAGAACCATTTTGCCCAGCAGGTGGGTGAGGACAAACTGTTAAAAAATTCCATTTATCATAACATGTATGATAATAACAAAAGATACATATTGATGCATGTTTAAAATTATGATGTAGTTAGCACCAAATGCATCTACTGGGCAGTATATTGATAGCACTAAACAGAAGGTATGTTACACAAAAATTTCCACATTTCTATTGGTTATTTTAATTAAATTAGTTCTATCAACATGTATTCCAGACAGCTTGTACTACTCATCTGGATATCTAAATCAACATTCAAAGTAATTTTAGTATACAATAGTGTCTGTCATCCATCTGTTAACAAGTACTTAAAACAATTTCTTCTAATTTAACTGCAAAAATCCTTATGTGATACAGACCAGAAAAGCTAACAAGATTTTGAAGAAACTACCAGGCACAGACAATTACTGAACCACTGAATCTCTATGAGAATTGGTTTAGAGGTCCTCTCTGGACAACATATAGACAACATTAATACCCTGACCACACTGTAATGGGCAACATATAGACAACTTTAATACCCTGACCACACTGTAATGGACAACATATAGACAACTTTAATACCCTGACCACACTGTAATTGACAATATAGGAACAACTTTAATACCCTGACCAGACTGTAATACACAACATATAGACAACATTAATACGCTGACCACACTGTAATGGACAACATATAGACAACTTTAATACCCTGACCACACTGTAATGGACAACATATAGACAACTTCAATACCCTGACCAGACTGTAATGGACAACATATAGACAGCTTCAATACCCTGACCAGACTGTAATGGGCAACATATAGACAACATTAATACCCTGACCATACTGTAATGGGCAACATATAGACAACATTAATACCCTGACCACACTGTAATGGACAACATATAGACAACTTTAATACCCTGACCACACTGTAATGGGCAACATATAGACAACATTAATACCCTGACCACACTGTAATGGGCAACATATAGACAACTTTAATACCCTGACCAGACTGTAATGGACAACATATAGACAACTTTAATACCCTGACCACACTGTAATTGACAATATATAGACAACTTTAATACCCTGACCAGACTGTAATGGACAACATATAGACAACATTAATACCCTGACCACACTGTAATTGACAACATATAGACAACTTTAATACCCTGACCAGACTGTAATTGACAATATAGGAACAACTTTAATACCCTGACCAGACTGTAATGGACAACATATAGACAACTTTAATACCCTGACCACACTGTAATTGACAATATATAGACAACATATAGACAACTTTAATACCCTGACCACACTGTAATGGGCAACATATAGACAACTTTAATACCCTGACCAGACTGTAATTGACAATATAGGAACAACTTTAATACCCTGACCAGACTGTAATGGACAACATATAGACAACTTTAATACCCTGACCACACTGTAATGGACAACATATAGACAACTTTAATACCCTGACCAGACTGTAATGGACAACATATAGACAACTTTAATACCCTGACCAGACTGTAATGGACAACATATAGACAACTTTAATACCCTGACCACACTGTAATGGGCAACATATAGACAACATTAATACCCTGACCAGACTGTAATGGACAACATATAGACAACTTTAATACCCTGACCAGACTGTAATGGACAACATATAGACAACTTTAATACCCTGACCACACTGTAATGGGCAACATATAGACAACTTTAATACCCTGACCACACTGTAATGGGCAACATATAGACAACTTTAATACCCTGACCAGACTGTAATGGGCAACATATAGACAACTTTAATACCCTGACCAGACTGTAATGGACAACATATAGACAACTTTAATACCCTGACCAGACTGTAATGGACAACATATAGACAACATTAATACCCTGACCACACTGTAATTGACAATATAGGAACAACTTTAATACCCTGACCAGACTGTAATGGGACAACACCCTGACCAGACTGTAATGGACAACATATAGACAACATTAATACCCTGACCACACTGTAATGGGCAACATATAGACAACATTAATACCCTGACCACACTGTAATGGGCAACATATAGACAACATTAATACCCTGACCACACTGTAATGGGCAACATATAGACAACATTAATACCCTGACCACACTGTAATGGGCAACATATAGACAACATTAATACCCTGACCACACTGTAATGGGCAACATATAGACAACATTAATACCCTGACCACACTGTAATGGGCAACATATAGACAACTTTAATACCCTGACCACACTGTAATGGACAACATATAGACAACTTTAATACCCTGACCAGACTGTAATGGACAACATATAGACAACTTTAATACCCTAATCAGTCTAAAGGACAGCATGTAATGAGTGGACATTCTTTTTTAACAATAATAAATACTCACTGTAATCTTTAGAATTTTGTGTGGAATTAACAGCATCAGAATCTGAAGCTTTGTCTAAGAATCAAAACAAGAAATTCTGTAATCATCCAGTCTTAATATACTGCATGTAAAAACTTTAGAAAGATGAATATAACTTAAATTTTTTCAATGAAAAATTATGTTTGTCTCAAGAGAAAGATGGCAATGATTTTGATAAAGTGAATAACATTGTTTTGATGTATTTACTTTACATGAAACATGAACATTTTACACAAAAATTATAAAACTATAAAACACAAAAATTTAAATAAAAACCTATAACCTGACTATGTATACTTACGGTAGATAAAGGTGACAATATTGTAGAGAAAATTTGACATGAGTATCCAGTAGACAATGGCCCCGCCCAAAAGTGTCAGAAGGGATGAGACTACTGCCAGAATCTGGGCCCAACGACCCAGATAATGTTGACATACATCAGAAAAGTCTAAAGCCTCACTTGTGGAATCCGATGCTGTCAACATTTTAACATTCTGTTAGTTTACATATGTACATATATAGAACTACACTGAACATGTGCACAAAGAACAACAGATGTTTCACACAAATGTCCATTTAATGGTTTTATAACAGGACTGAATTTATGCCAATTAATTTTCTGTGTAGTTAACACAATCAATTTTCTGTGTAGATAACACATAATTGTATTGAGAAGACTTGGGTTACATATTTATGCCTTGTACTGCTGTCAGTGTGTCACTAAGATTACTTACACATGTCCTGTACTGCTGTCAGTGTGTCACTAAGGTTACTTACACATGTCCTGTACTGCTGTCAGTGTGTCACTAAGGTTACTTACACATGTCCTGTACTAAGGTTACTTACACATGTCCTGTACTGCTGTCAGTGTGTCACTAAGGTTACTTACACATGTCCTGTACTGCTGTCAGTGTGTCACTAAGGTTACTTACACATGTCCTGTACTGCTGTCAGTGTGTCACTAAGGTTACTTACACATTTCCTGTACTGCTGTCAGTGTGTCACTAAGGTTACTTACACATGTCCTGTACTGCTGTCAGTGTGTCACTAAGGTTACTTACACATGTCCTGTACTGCTGTTAGTGTGTCACTATGATTACTTACACATGTCCTGTACTGCTGTCAGTGTGTCACTAAGGTTACTTACACATGTCCTGTACTGCTGTCAGTGTGTCACTAAGATTACTTACACATGTCCTGTACTGCTGTCAGTGTGTCACTAAGATTACTTACACATGTCCTGTACTGCTGTCAGTGTGTGACCAAGGTTACTTACACATGCCCTGTACTGCTGTCAGTGTGTGACCAAGGTTACTTACACATGTCCTGTACTGCTGTCAGTGTGTCACTAAGGTTACTTACACATGTCCTGTACTGCTGTCAGTGTGTCACTAAGGTTACTTACACATGTCCTGTACTGCTGTCAGTGTGTGACCAAGGTTACTTACACATGCCCTGTACTGCTGTCAGTATACGGTAGCTGGTGTATAACATGAGGCCTGCCATCAATACCAGCAGTATAATGCCAGTCACAAACCCGGCCTACAACAAGCAAAGACCAATTAACCAGTACATTTAATCCTTAAAATGATGGTTCATCCTTCAACCTTGACGGCAAAATAAAAACATAAGAAAGAAAACAATTTTCCTACATTTTATTCTGCAGGATAAAAACTTGAAAGTTTTAAGAACTCTTTTTTTCAACAAAGCTGTCCCCAGAAAAAGCATACAAAGGTACATTCCTATTCTTTATTTGCAAAATATTACATCTACCCATGATGCCCCAAAATTCTTCAATCTGGTTCACCTCTGTTATATGTTCAAAATGACCTGTCTCACCATGATATTGAACATCCTAAACATACAAATGCTGTACCTGTCTTATTGCCCAAGGCATACTTAAGATTGATGTCCCCATCATGGTATTCCAAAGTGAAAATCTACAAGACAAATCAGTATGACATTAATTTCAAAACATGTTGTATGTTTTGTCATCAAAAATACATTCAGTTGGTACAGGAAATGACAAGGAGAAAAGATAAGTACATTTTTACATTAAGTCTAAGATTTACAGATTCTTTATTATAGATGAATAAACATTTCAAGTGTGCTTGAAATACGTTTTACACTATTACTACACATAGCAAGTATCACACAAATTATTTACAGACATTAAAGGCAAGACATGTACTTTGAGAGAAACATTATTCTTGCAAATGAATAAAGCAAAGTTTGGTTGGAAAAAAAAACCACTTCTGGAAAAAATGAAAATAACCTATCCTGCAGTATCATATCTGTCTGCAGAAACTTAATAGCATCGCTCTTACAATATAATAACCTCCTGATTCCATCATTTGGAAAAACTTACAATGATTATTAACATTTTGCACTGTAACATGTTTAATAAATCATAGTTTTTAGGTCAAAACCATTTAAATGTGTCTCAAACTAGATCACAACCAACATATATATACAAGAGTTCCTCAGAAGTATATGTGTCGCCTGCATAAAGTGTCACGGTCACCCAGAAATTGAACTGGATGTGCAACGTTCAACCATAAAGTTGTAATACCAAATTTCAATTCTATAACTCGAAGCATAAAAGTAAAACTGCACAAAGCCATATTCCTGAGAAATTTTCCAAGTTCAAAGGGACATATCACTGCCAAGAAGGGTTACAGACTGCCAAGAAGCAAACTCAGTGTGTAACTTTTGACCAAGAACTCATATACAAAACTGCATTTTGATAACTCGAAGCATAACCAAGAAAATTTTCGAAGTTCAACGGGGCATAACTGTGCCAAGAAAGCCGTAAATCAAACCTTATCTGTAATGTTCGACCATGAAGCCATTTCTCATATATCATGTAAAAAACTCTAAGCATAATCAAGAAAAGTACAAAAAACCATATTCTCGAAGAATTTTCAAAGAGGCATAACTCTGTCATATACCAAATTTCATTTCTATAACTCAAAGCATAACCAAAGAAAGTTCACAAAACAATATTCCCGGAGACTTTTCTAAGTTCAAAGGGGCATAACTCTGTCAAGAAGGCTTACAGACAGCTAGGAATCAAACTTCATCTGTACCCTTCTAACAAGAAGCCATATACCTAATTTCATTTCAATAACTTAAAAGGATAACCCAAAGAAGTCTGGAAAACAATATTCCCAGAGAATTTTCTACGTTCAAAGGGGCATTACTCTGCCAAGAAGTGTCACAGGCAGCTGGAAATCAAACTTAATCTGTACCCTTCCAACATTAAGCCACATACCAAATTTCATTTCAATAACTCAAAGGGTAACCCAAAGAAGTCTGGAAAACAATATTCCCAGAGAATTTTCTACGTTCAAAGGGGCATTACTCTGCCAAGAAGGGTCACAGACAGCTGGAAATCAAACTTGAAACAAATAATACAGTAAAGTTCAAGTTTTGTTCAGGTATATCCCTTTAAAAATCTGAATGAATATATTGATCAAAGCTATGACTTTCTTGACTTTCAGTTATGATCAATAAGGAAATCGTTAATGGTATGGTTGTGCATTTCAGGTTTGTTTACAAATGGTGACTCCACACTGCTACTACTGGTCATTCATAAATTTGATTATCTAACTATTTCAGAGGAAGGCTAATGATTTATTCTAAATGAAATAAATAGCAACTTCCTTGATGCATCTTAGCCATTGGCAAAAAAAAAAAGGAAATTATATAAAGTTAACTTATCATTGGAAAACACCAAACAAAAAGTCTCAATGATCATCACCATTTCTCAGACAATCAAGGACCATTTATCCATCAATCACAGAATGAAAGGAATATTTATCTACTTTTTGAGCTCTGATTTGTTAGCTGACCAAGCGTTTTGTTCAAATTTGTAAAAAGTGAACTAAAGAAATCAGTCCTTACATGGTGATGATGCTGTTTTGTTCACCTCGAACAGTCACATAGATCACACTGAAGAAATTTGGTGGCACCACATGGTCAGGCATTTGCTATCCAAACAGAAACATACAAAATGATTCAAACGGATGAATAATGTTTAACAACTTACAAATTCTGTGTGTATGGTTACTCAAATATCCACTTATGTTATATATATTGCTGTACAGTAAAAGTCTTTATTCCTAAATTTGGAAAAAAGTGCCAACACTTAATGTTGATCCAGAAAGGTCTAAAACAGCATGGGAAGTCGCAAATGAAAACAAACACTTGACTGCCATATTGGTTTATCTTAATCAATAACAACATATTAGCAGCACTGAGATACTCATAATGGATTCACCAACAAAATTATTTTGAAGTCACCTGAATCAATCTGATAAATCGTGAGTCAAGGAAAGTACAAGAATTATCACTATACAGATCATTCAGTAAAACTTACTTTTTATGACTCTTGAACAAAAATGTTTGTTAATTTGATGCAAAACAGGAAAATCCAACAGAGACATTGCCAAAAAAAAACAACATTCAATTAAACAACATTGCAGAGACACAAGAAGAGCATTGGCTTTGCAATTGTTTGCTATAAATAATATACATTATTCTGTATACTTGAGACTTACAAAGTTGCTGTTTCTGTATGGAAACAACCTGGAATAGTACTTGTAGCGACTGACCACAGCCACGGTACTGGCATCATGGTTGGGTGTGTTGATGGAGTAGTACTGTACAGGACGCCTGTAAAATTAATTCACAAATTATCTTTCTGTTGAACACAGGACACATTTGTTTGCCCCATTACCCCAACCCATCCATTCAAAAAAAAATATCAACTTATATTAATTTGTTTGCCATTATCCTTGCATAAACATGCCTAATGTCAAAACCATGAGTTGGTGCCAAAGCTAGCCCTGGAATCTTATATGGTAAATTTCCTCTGCTAGCAGTTTTCATTCTTGAACGTAGTCTTTGAATCTCTTGCCAAAGACCAACCTCTCTGGAGCCCATATCAGTGAAATTTGACCTCCCCTTTAGTCTGACAACCACCTGACATGTTTTTTGCCATGGTGAATCTTTCATTGACTAGTGGGTTTTAAATGACTTAAAGGACATGTTAAGCACTCAACTTTGCAACAGTGTCATGTATAGGTTTCCTAAAATGTACCACCTGATCAACAGTGATGAAATATGCAACAAAGCAAGGCAAGACATTATGTCACAGTGTTCAGAGTAAATAAAACAGATTGAACTGCATATCAAACAAAATCTAGGCTGAGGATCAGGGTATTACTAAACCCCTTCCTACCTATCCTAATCCTGGCTGTCAAGATTTTTTCAAAACAACCGGACAGTGAGACAATGAAATTAACACTGAGAGAATGTGTAACATTAACATCTGTATTGCATTTAAGTGTCTTTACAGGACAGAGTATACATCAAAAATGTTAGAATTATAACTTCTGTAATTTTTGCAAAGAGTAAAATGATCCTGAGTTAAGAAGGGAATCAGCTAATGCACCACCTGCCTGGGCCTGGCGGAGTTTGAACACTAGTTTTTAATGCTACATGTATATATTGCAGCAGTTGAGATTAAATGATGTAGTCCCTGATCCGCAGCAAAAAATGTAAAAATTTAGTTGTTTTTCCGACACAGGATCTTTGTTTATCAACACAGGATTTGTTTGATTTGGAGTCACCAGAAAGAACTATGTACTGTATATACCAGGATATTTTCACCCCTTCAAATTATTATTGCAATTGTACCAGTATACACAAATTTATCTCATTTTCATTTCAGTCTCCGACAATTATTTAGAACAGTTATATAAGTATAAAAAATTTGTGCCCTCATCTTAAATTTGCCTTTGCTTCCTATTCATGGACAAAAGGGGCAAGAATTAAATGGCTTATTTATTTATTTATTTTATTTTACAGGTTTTACATCCACTATTATGGCCTTTCAGGCAACAAGTAAACATAGGGGCGAAAGAATACCAGTAATTTGAGTATACAGTAACGCTGTGAACGTTAATACACAAAATCAAAAAATAACACCATGGTATCCATTAAACCTGAATGTTAGGTCAATAATTTATCAGAAGAAATACCTGACTCTCCTACTATTTCCATTTGTATTCCCATCATCATTGACCCTGTGAATAAAAAAATACTTTTATATAGACATGTACACAAATATATATGTCATGAGGCAAAATCTGTTCAGTTACAGAAACCATTCCTTCTTATGTTAACTGTTATATGAAAATCAGGATATAAGAGCCTTATCTGCACTGATTTGATATTGGTTCTTTGGGGTTTTCTCCACATTTATTTGTTTTATGAAAAGTTTGAGGAAAATTTTCAACATTTTCAAGAAATTATAACTTAATCTGTACTAGACATTGGAATGGCAGCTGTAATAATGGCTACAGATGATAGTAATAGTTAAGTCTTCATTGATGTCTCTGGATGTTTGTGAGGACACAGGCAAATTGTTCTAGGCCTGGATTTATAAATGAAACTACAAAGCACAGGGGCATGCAACAGGAATACATTGTCAAAAATCAAATTCACTAGAAACAAATATTATATATAGTGTGGCAGGATCAACTTTTAATATAATGTGAATTGTATTGTCTCCGTTATTGATAAATCCTGTTTAGTAGTTTACATCTATACTGTATCTTGTTCATCAGCAGGGCTCTCACACCCCATTTTGGGACTGGGGCCCAGGGCCCTTAGAACTGGGAAAAATAATGGTTTTTCCTTAGAATTGGGAAAACTTGGGGTCTAAATTGGGAAAAAAAGATACTATTTTGCATTGGGAATGGGGCCGAATATTGGCCCCAAATCTGGCAGATCGAGAGCCCTGATCAGTCACGTGTATACCTAAGGGTTAGTCTCGTAAATTGCCTCCCTATATAGTGTCATGTGGTCAGCTTAATTTTGTCTTGTTTCACAGTCTTATGTCTTATTTTACTGGTTGTTTTGATTTTGTAGTATTTGTAAGTTGCGGTCATTGTTTGACAGACCGATGGGTGGATCGTATGCTTTGTAACAGTAATCTTGAAATACCTGTCACCAGTAAAACTTTACTTAACTATCGATCAATCAATATCAAAATGTAGACACATCTGTTTGTCAGCGAAGTTTGTGCTACACACAGAGTTCATACTCTTTCGATGTCTATGATAAACTATGGTCAGAACTCGCCACTGGTTTCATGTCATTATTGAATATGATATACCCAATCAGTATCATGTAGCACATTCTAGATTGTTAGGAAACTTGATAAATGACAAGCAATGAGCATGTAATGTTAACAATGCCCCTGTGCTCAAACTAATATAACTTGTAAGTAACGTTACGCCGTGTTATCATATACACTATACACATACTCCTGATCAGATAATAACATATAACATCTGACTATTTCCCACCCCAGTTTGTAAAACCCATTGAATTACATTCATACGATTGCGAGCGCACTTGCATTCATCCGTATCTAGCTGCTACCGGATGAATTCCTCACTGTTCACATTTGACAACAGGCATGTCAAGGTAAAACACAAAAAAGTGCTAGGTCTAGCTGAAAAATGCGACGCGACACGGGGAAGTGAAAGACCCGTAGAAGATAAATGATACACATACTTTTTCATCATTTCCAGCTACAGTAAATGTGAAATCCTATTCGCCATGAATAAAATATATAGTTAACACGGTTTGACGTGGTTATGTTTATACGAACAGCATAGCAAAATGACAACAATAAAGCCTTACGCTCTGGGTAGAAGAAGGGGAGGTTCTCGTTTGAAATACTCACTCCGATTCCTCTCTGATATCATCGTCGTTGAGATGAAGGGGCGATTTTTCATCCCCACTGCTACTGTCGGGTGATGACCCACTCATTCCAAATCAAATATGAATCGGAAATCACATGTTAGTTTGCTGTCAATTGTGTCAAACTCTGAAATGTGAACTTTATCCACAGCAGAAAACTGCTTCCTGTTATAGTCTTTTCCAAAGTAGGATGACGCCTACAAGTATAGTGTGTTTCATGAAAGCTACATATTTTATTTCTATATATTGTACACCGTAGTCCTCAGCGCTGTTTTTGCAACAAAAATTATCAATAAATTGAAAGTGTAATCATTAATAACATTGCAAGCCACACTATTAAAAAAGACACTAAAATGTCATTCATCCAGATATCATATCAAAGAATAACAATATGTTATTATCATGTTTTGCACTTATCAAACATGGATTTATTACAATATATATTTAGGTCGCCACAGCTTCTTATTAGTTTAAACATATTTTATTCGACAAAGCTGTAAATGGATTGGGCACAAGTTATTTCAACTTATAAAACGCCCTCTCCAAAATACAAACAAATAAACACAATGTACATAATACAATTATGACAATACGTATTTCAAATCAACAACAAATTGTTATTTATAGAAAGAGTGGGGAAGTAAGGGAGAGGGAGAGAGAGAGAAGGAAAGGGATGGAGAAGAAGAAGAGAGAGAGAGAGGGGGGGGAGAGATAAATCAGTTACATCGGATTTAGATATTGAAAATGGCATGAACCGTTATACTTAAAACCTGCTACTGGACTTTAAACAGTGCTGAACACATGAAAAATTCACAGTTTGTATCATACGACAACTCTTGGTTACCAAATAAAGGCAATTCTAAATCACAAGGAACCTGCAAATCTAAGTCGTTTAGATTCTGGAAGAGAATATTTCTTTCAGTATCAAAACGACCATATACAAAGAAAAAATGACAGGCATTCTCACAAATATGTCCACATGTGCAGCTAGAGGTTTCCACAAGGCTCAAACGGAATACGTTGTAATTTAAAGAACTACACTGGTGTCTAAGCTTCGTGTGGATAATATCAAGTTTGCGGTCGCCAATGCCAAAGTGAAAAGGAGGAGAAAATTGATTACTAGGTATAAATGAACTTTTGAAAATACTTAAAGAAGCCGATGATCTTCCAGAGTTTTCGAGAGAATTCCAAGAACGAATGCTGTTGACGGAAAGAAAGAGGATCTAGTTAAAGTTAATCTACTATATGGTACTCTGTAATCGTTTGTGTTTCTTAAAGGATATCGAACATCGTCTTGGATAGAGGAGGGAAGTAAAGAGGAAAGATAATCCGGAGTTTGATTATTACGTATCTTATACAAAAGCTGAAGTTTTCTTCTCTTTCTTCTAGTCGATAGAGTTTCTAAACCTGTTTCAAAGTATAAAGATTGGTTACCTGTATAAGATGGAAGACCTGTGATAATTCTGGCTGCTTCACGTTGAGCTTTTTCTAACTACATTATTTTTTTATTTAACGCATGTAAAAACATAAAAAGGCGAACACAATACTAGAATATATGGCTATCTTGAATACACTGACAAAGGAATCCGGTTTGTTCAAGAGTCTAAGACGTTCACTAAGAAATCTAGAATATGTTCTAAAATAAAAAGCACCAACAGCGCACCTCCAAGAATCAATACAACATCCCATTATGGAGAGTAAAAATAATAATTTTTGACAGTATTGAGGCGTCTAGTGGTACTTTTTCGAGCACAAAACCATACATCATCCGAGTAACTATATAACATAAATGGTAGGAAGTAGAAGTTTGTGAGGAAAGGTGATAGTAGGGGTTCGAGAGAGAAGAAAGTGAGTTTGGACGCAAAGAAAGTAATAAGGAAAGCAATGAAACAAAGTTTAGGAAAGAAAGTCGATAAGTTCAGGAATATTGATATAGAAAGGGAAATAGGAAGGACAGGTAAAGTAACAGAAAGCATGAATATATACATATTTAAGGTGAGGGTAATTAACTGTCCTGATACAGGTTGAAATAATGATGTTAATTTGAGATACAATCGGCCTGAACCTGAAGGTACACATGGCGGTGTAAAATTTAGTTTTAGCTATATACATTTGCTATTTTCATATTGTACATGTCTTTACAAAATACTCACAAGCTGAGTAAGGTGTGAACGAAACTTCAAAACAATACAAACTGCACTCGGGGCTGAAACATAATCAGGGTACTCAAAAAAACTACATACATTTGTATGTCTTACAGTTCAAAACATTTCGTAAGAATGAACTATGTATAGAACTAGACACACGATTTAACATGACACATAGTGGTGTCCAGTAGATATATAGATACTACCTGTCAGGGATATATCTTCTATAAATACACATTGTACTATTTAGTACATTTACAGTGTACATATCGTATGGGAAAAAAACTGTTCTGTACGTATAGACTCAAACAAACAGAAAATGAAACATAATGATTATATCTAGTTGCAGTCTTTTTCTATTGGTGTTATTATTACAGTATACCAAAACTGACAGCCATGCCATTACAGACTTACATTTATATGTAAATGATTTCGACTTGCGCTAGCCTGATCAACTGTACCGAGAGCCTAGACTACACGTTGATAAAAAAAAACGCTAGCCTGACCAGGCTCCAGAGAAAAAACTTTTTTTTTTAAGGATTTCGATTTTTCAAAATAAATACTTTTTGTACGTAGGTACATGTAGTACGGTAAATATATAGTACTGTAAGTACTAAAAGGTAAAATAAATACCTATTGTAAGTATGAATTATAATATATATATGGTATGGGTATGTTTACGTCATACCTGAGTGAGAGAGTGGACAATGTGTAGAAGTCACATGACCATAAACTAAAGTACGTACACAATTTCAAAATGGCGTCGTCCACTTCGGGTGGGTTTTGCCGACATCATTCAGGTACTCTACTTCCTTTATAATTGGGCATTGGCGCAAAGAAGACTAGAATGACAGTATATTTTATGGAGAAAACCATTTACGACGTAATTGTGTACTTTTCTAGTTAAACCCGATCAACTGATCTTCCGGGTCGACCGTCATTAGGATAGCGTTCACAATTCTATAACAATATTGATCATCTGGCTCTTTACGATAAGATATAAACAATATCCACATCCCTAATTATTAATATTGTGATATCATGTAATTTCATAACCCAATTGTGTGAAAAGAGCGCTTAATTTGAAAAATTTAAATATTATTGTAAAATTCGTATCGTTCGTAATGGTGGAATGTGCATGCCTCTCAAGTAATCTCGTAGGCGCATGCGCAGCCAGATTTCATTACACATGCAGCGATGGCACAGAATAGTCCTACAGCTCCCACCGAGACCTGGTAAGACAGACTGACCAGTGTCATATTATTGTATATAGTTTAAATCCATTTATTACTTTCTGTTGGATGTTTATGTGATAATATTTATCTATATCTGTCTACTACAGTATTTATATTGTAATTGTAAGCTTGTGTAAAATATAAATAAACCACTACAGAACCTTAGAAAAAGTGTCCATGTACTGATTTAACCGAGAGGACCTTACAAATATACAAAGCAAATTAGCATTGTTTAGTTAGTTACCAGTTGATTTCAATATATGAATGAAAATCTAATACCACAAAGACGTATGTTGCCCTATTCAACAGCCTAAAAATGAAAACCATATAGCCGAGCTATCATCTGTTTAAGTGCATCTTTATACAGTTGCCGTTTATAAGCCATACCATATTTGGTTAAAATCGAATTTCCGTCCAGAAATAAGTGATTATTAACGACAAAACTTTCAAAAGTTACAGGAGTCGGATTTATTAAAACATCGAAACGGTCAGAAATTATAATATTTGGCAGGTAGATTCGTGGAATGAAGGTAAAGTTTGCGAACTGGAATGACCTTGACTGTATTCAACAATGTTTAGTCATAAGTGATATCAGCTTTCTAGCTTTTACTCAGTTTATATCAACTGGATATCTCCAGTTTGTATGTACGGCATAGACTCTGCTATAGCTATGTCTCTAAATACTGAGTGTAGAACCTAATCCAGTTTAACATGTCTGAAAATATGTAAATGCTCATGGATGGACACTTAAACAAAATAAGTTTGAACGTTGTATGTGTTAAAAGAAATTACTTTTAATATAAGCAAAGTATTAACCTCTTATTTTGCTTAATTCATGAAGTCATAAATCTAATGGAGCACAAGGTAGCAGTACACAGTTTCTCGGTGTGGACATGGGTGATTTTTTTGCTCATTAGATTACCCCATTATAAAGGTTTTAATTAAAAATGGAAAAAAAAATCCTTGCTAAAATTGGTCCTGTCATGTTAAAGTGGGCAATGTGGGGTTTCATTTTTTTTTTTTTCAGGATAATATTTTAGCTTTGTGTTGGAGATTACTATTTGGGCAGTCTCGAATCTGTGTCTACGCACCAAAAACTAGCTTTACAGGAAGTGAAATTTTCATAGTGTTTACATGTGTTCATGTTATGAAGAGTTTCCGAGTTGGAATTTGCTGAAATGTAAATACTTTGTTACCATGACAGTGTTGTTAATTGTAAGATAGGTGTTTAGAATTAAATTTCTCCTAGAAAGTTATAGTGTTGGGTTGGAATTAGCAGTATTTTTGCATTTTTAGCATTTTTTCAGTAGGTAACCATGACAATCAAATGTCAGAAATCAGAGGAATTTTTTTTACACAAATTTCATCTCTCTACTGTTAATGTAATTGTTATACAGTTTATAAATATATATACATGTAATGATGTATTTTTCATAACCAATCTGCTAAACCTGTATATCTCAAACATGTTTCAAACAAAATAATTTCAGGAAAAATGCAAATTAATTGTTTACTGCTACCCAAGGTAAATTGCTCGTAAACGTGATCTCGTTGTTAAAACATAAATTTATGATCTAATGTCACTTATATACAACAAACCAATATAAGCAGTTGGGCCATTATAGTCATTTAACTAAATCGTTCTATAACTCTCTACACACAAGCGAATGAAGTCGGATTTACTGTACATCTCTGCAAACTGATG